ACAACAACCAACCAACCAACAAACAAACGAACGAACGAACGAACAAACAACAACAGCAATAACAGCAGCAGCAGCAGCAGCAGCAGCAGCAGCAACAACAACAACAAGTACTAGTACTAGTACTAGCACTAGTACTAGTACTAGTACTAGTACTAGTACTAGTACTACTACTACTACTACTACTACTACTACTACTACTACTACTACTACTACTACTACTACTACTACTACTACTTCAAACATTTTGTGTGTGGCAGCTACATGTAACATGACACTTTTGGTATGTAAGTAACAGTAACTACATGTACTGTCACTTGCACTTTTGGTGGCATGTTTGGCAGCCTGTTTGTTTTATATGTCTGCGCGCTTCCTGTTAGCAACTACAGTCACTTTTAGGCGCCCTGTTTCACTTCATTTTTAGGACTACAGCCATGGACCATTTTGAGACTACAATTGTTGAGGACGAGGTTGACATTGCGTCACCTGACACTACTACACCCGTCCAACTACCAAGTCACAACTTCACCCAACTACAGGCACGCCACGACCTTGAACTACAAACCACACCACTGCCACTCAGTGCACACCTACAGGATGTCTACAACTCCAACGAGTTCAACCTACACATCAACGACACCATCCTACTACGGGCCATGCCCACACTACCCGCAACACCACAACACACCAAATTCTACATCCCCCTATGGTTCACCTGATGGTTCTGCTTTGTCACTGCAGGACAGGATGATGACACTACAGTCAGTCCTTTTCTACATCACGGCCACTTCAGAACCAGCAACACGCTTTTGCAACTGCACTCATCAGCCGGCATACGACCGACTACAACTACTGCATTCGGCAGCTGATGCCCACAAGTGGCATTACTACAGCTTGACCGAACTCCACACATCCACCAACCACGTCAACGACTACATTCTTCACACAGACTACGTCCAACAACTACTCCAAGACAACAACTTGGACTACTTCGTGCGTGACTACATCAGTCACTCCACTTCAATCCAAAGCCACTACACCCTTCACAAATCCCACTACCAAGGAGCCTCCTTGATCAACTACAACTTCAACGACTTCACCCTTCACTACACCCTGGCCAACGGCTACATGCGGGATGCCACCTACTACACAACACTCAGCAACGACTCCACCTTTCCAGCCTACACCCCAACGACAGCACAGCGCAACGTGCTGTCCACTGCATTCTTAGCAAGACTACAGAATACGTACTATGGTCCCTACTTGTTGACCAATACACATGGCTCCGAGGCACTCCGCGCACAACTACTACGCACCCTTCGGGAACAGCGCATCACGATGCCAGTTTTCCCAGTAAAGGACTACAACAGCATGCGTGGATCATGCGGGAGCCAGCCACGGTCCAATCGCTACTGGACCCCCGCCGGTCTCAAGGAGACTACTGGCGCAACAACCCCTAGGCCTACATAAGGCACTACAGCAACAGGCACCTCCTCACGAACTCCGTTCAGTCCGACTACAGTAGGGACTGAATCCTGAACAGCGAGAGCTACTGAGGGACTACGCGTGTTTTCCCTGTTCACTACAGTAGCATGGATGAACAACACTTGTTTTCATCACTACTGTCAATCTTGGCATTTGCACTCCAGTTGAAAGACTGAGGGACGCTGTCAGAGTACATGCGGTGTTGTACTACATAGCTTGTACACGACCGCAGGCCTTGATGAGAAACAACAGCTGTGCAGACTACAGGTTTGTTTGTGTCAACAACATTACAGCACTTGCACTTGTAGTAAATAGTAGTCTAAATTTAACGAGAGAGAGAGAGAGAGAGCGAGAGGGGCGGAGAGAGAGAGAGGGGCGGAGAGAGTGACAGAGACGGAGAGAGAGGGGGAGAGAGTGACAGAGAGGGAGAGAGAGAGGGGGAGAGAGTGACAGAGACGGAGAGAGAGAGGGGGAGAGAGACTGAGACAGACACAAAGAAAGAAGGACAAAGGACGAGAGAGAGAGACAGCCGGCAAAGACTTTCCAATCCTGACTGTCATAGTCTCGGAGCAGATGTTTTGGCAATAGACTCCTAACAGAACCTATTAGGTTGGAACCAAGCAGCTGGCCATCACTTGGCTCAGGCAGAAGCAAAGTCGTCAACAATCCGCGGGAACGCTCACCGGGAATGCATCCCAATCCCTTCCTTGAGAGGTGGACTGGTAGCTTCTCCAAAATATTAGTTCTCGATGGGGGTGAGTCTGGAAACAGCACCTCTCTTGAGGCAAGGAAGGGACCTTCATGGGCCAGGTGACACATCCCGGTTGTGAGGCCCCACTCAAACCCGGCTGAATTCAAGTGGCCTTGTCTCCAAATTGATGCCGACGGTGAGAGAAATGCCCAGAGAAATGCGCGTCTGATGCCGCTATGTGCTTGAATTTCGTGAACTTCAGGAATCAAGCTGATCTGTGTTGGGAAAGTTCTTTGACCGGGCATTCAAGACCTAGTGGTATCCAACTTACTTGATGTTAGCACGAAGCTGGCCGTTTGGCTTGGCAAATCACCCGCGACGCGATCAGCGCTTTGGGCATGCGGCGTCTCGTGCAGATTCACCCTGGCAGCGACAAGAAGCAAAAACGGCCAAATGGATCTTAATTTGTCCCAAAACTCCAAGGAAGCCATTTGACTGTGTTTTCACTTGGTGATAAGACAGACAGGCTTAAAAATCAATCGACCTCCATCATTGCTGTGTGCTTGCGCCAGCCACGTGCGTGACGTGAGCTGGCGTCAACGACCTCCTGCAAGGCAGAAAGAGCAACGCCTTGCCCATTAGGCGACTGGGTCAGATGCTGCAATGTGCTTGCGGAGGGGAAAAAACAACTATTCACAAACACAACCAGTTCAAGAATAAACAATGTTGAAACAAGTCCAAAGCAAGAATTGACATGGGTCGAACCCTCCTGGAGCCAACGAAAACATCGGGGCTTGATGTTGGCACTCCCTGGTCAGCGTCTAACGGGTACGTGAGCAACTTTGACAGGCACCTGAACAACACACAACTATTTGCTCAGAGCTTGGCAGTGGAAACATGGAACCGAACAACGTGAGGAGCGTTTCAAACTTGCAACCCTTGGAATAGCCTCCACCAAAAAACATGGAACCTGATGTTCGGGGGGTCCTGGAAGACCATTTTATTCTTTTCAAGGGACCCTACCTGCGCCAATACGCAAAGTCACCTTATAGGCCAGCAGCCCGGCGGTCTATCTGGCCCGGCCTCGCCGGGGAGCAGTTGACGAACATGAGCGTCTTGGCTGTGCCGCCCAGGGAATCCTGTCACGTCAGAAACGGATATGTAGGAAAAGCATAATATGTCAGAAAGTTATGCAGCAAGGTGATGTCTGCCATAGATGTGTAAACAAACAAACATGTATAGTATATACAAGCACTGATGTGCATAATATATATATATACACATATATATATATATTATGTTGTATAATGTAAACGACGCATGCCCAAAATCATAAACATCACATATCCATATTTATACAGGCACGTGTAGCTGTAAAGACTGTGTATGGCTCATGTTTCTCAGAATAGTCAAGCTATCTTATTCTCTTTTCCAGAGCAGCCATGACAAAGGGCAAGGGCTGGCTCTGCATGCCCACAAAGGTCCACGTTGTAGCAGCTTCTGCACTCCACCAATTCCAAAGCACCCCAAAACTCCGCCAACAAAACAAGTCTTCCCCAAAAAACAAGAACTGCCGGACTCCGTGTTCTGAGTCTGCGGTGTTGACTGTTGTCTTTTCCTTCTGTTGTCGGTTTCTTTTTTCGGTCCAGCACAAGTCACACGGTGAGACGCCGAAGGTGAAACGGAAAGCCTCTCTGTGGGCTTCACGTGGCTCCGAAAAAAAGAACGCGACGCGGCGGGGGGGGGGCAAATCGGGAACCCGAGTCTATGTGAGACTGCCAGATGGACTTGGGACGGACATGCAACAGTTTGAAAGTGAAAGATGGCTGCAATTCAAGCAAATCATTACCCCTGACTAGGTCCTAAGACGCTACTCCTCTACGTGACCCTCTGATGGGCTCCAACGTGAGTATTAAACCACTAAGCTGCAGCGCCAAGCTGAAAATCTCTGTCGACTCTGTGTCCCAAGCCAGTGAGATGACGCTGTGCCAAGCCCGAGCTGACTGTTGACTCAAAACCACTGTCAGTTTTCTGCACCAATCAGGCAGAAGAACCAAAGGGAAACCACCTGTTTTGGTGGAGACATGTAACTGTACCCCAGTAGAACCCCTTACAATGGTCAACTAAAACACGGGCTTGGGCGCTCACCAAGCTCCAGGTCCGCGACAGGAACCTCCTGCAAATGCAAATTCGCCCACCAAAGTTGTGTCTTTGGAACGGTTTGCTTGTCGCGGAGTCCTCTTCCGCTTCGTTCTGAGAATTCACCAGTGTCTGGAATTTGTCAAAAGGACATCCAGGGCGCTCGCAAAAGCATATACCTGCACCCATTCAGGAAGCACATCACCTGAAATGATCCCTCAGCACCACAGACTCTCCACTTCGAGTGTGCACAATTGGGCGGGGCGCATCTTGTGAGGTAAACAAATCTCACCCCTGTCTGATTGTTGACATGAAGATCCCTATAGAACAAGGGCATCCTTACTCTGCCAAGACTTGAATGGATGTAGTGACAATATAGTGATGTCGCTCGGGGGAAGTGGTAGTTCCCATCCCCGCAGTTCAGCCAACCTGCTTTTCAGCCAATCTGCTACTGACAGCTCCGCAGGTCTGGACAAAAGCAAACTCAGGGTCCCTGCCTTATCTGTTGAGTTGACGATCTAGCCCGAAACTGCCTTTGAACTTGTGCAATCCTTCACTTTATGTTTCTGAAGAAACCTACCATGAAGAGGGTCAGAATAACTATTGGCACTGTGGGGGTGGTCATGTTACAGCAGGCCCAGAGCATTCATTTTCCCGGGGTTGCCTCCGACGCCCATCAGTTCCGTCCTCAGCCGCCCTTCTCCTTACGCTTCCTGGGGCTCTTCCCCACGAGGCGCACGTTCTCGGCCCGGATGGTCTTCACTGAGCCTCGGGTCGGTCGATCGGTCAGATCGGAGGCCCCATCCGGATCCGGATCAAAACGCAGCCAAGGGCAACCATCCTTGCAAAAACCTGGGGAAAAAACGCATGGTCGGGTAACCAGACATGTCTAACTCTGGGTTGGAAATGACTGCCCTTGGTTGGTGGTAACTGGGTCCGACGGATCATTGTCATGATGTTCAGGTCGTCCGATGGGTATGTTAGCTCATGTTTGAGGGGTCATGGGCATGATTGTGCAACATGGTGGGCGATCCCTCTCTGTGATACCGTTTAGTGGTTGATCCCCGTCCCCATGAACTCATACACAGTATTCCCTTTCCTCGTCACAAAAGGCTGCCCTGGAATGGAAAAGGACAGGCTGTTTGGCTTGGGATCAAACTTGGTTGGTCCAAAAGATCCGCTGGAATGAAAACCGAACTAGCAAAGTAGTTGGGTCTGTCTCCCCAATTTAGAATAATTTTCACGACCCAGAAACACAAAAGCCGCCCTGGAGCGGCTTGTCAACGCATGTTGAGAAAGCTTGGAGGCCGTTGGATCACATCTCTGATCGAGTTATAAATGCACTTGGGCAAAAACAAGGGGCACCCCAGGAAGGTTCGGCACGAACCTTCAAGCGTTGTAAGAAACTGTCTGGGTTGTGGATACGGCTCCGAACGTCTCTCCTGCAAGTGGGATTCCCATCCGAATGACTGCTGTATCACAAAGGGAAGTCACTTGGCAACCATGGAAAGTGGGGAACCTAAAGCTCGTTTCGGACTTGACGGTGCGCAGCCCGGCCGCCGTCATGCAGCCTGATCTCGTATCTGCCTCGAACTCGATCCACTGAAAGGACCTAACAATGCGCGCGGCAATGCAGCGGCGTGTGGCCCTTGCCACATGCCGCCCTCAAAATAGCTTTGGTTCTCACGTATCACGAAGTTCTTGCGCTGGGAAGCAGCCCCAACAACAAGAGCCAAGAGAAAAACTGCGCAGCTTCGGTTTGTGTTTAAGACCATCCCCGAGTCATGTGACTGGGGCTCTAATGGACCTGCGAGCAAATCTTTAATTTGCGAAAGGCGCTCAGCACGGTACGGCGGGAAGTTCATTGAGGGCAAAACAGGTCAAAAGCAAAGTGGTTAACAGTGAAGTTGACACAAGCTGCAAGGGCTTCCACATCGTCAGGCCAACACAAAAACAAGCCCCTGGTTTGGGCGGCCATTCCACAAACAATCTCCTTCCAGAAAGTCTCTTCCGATGGTCCGGCCTCCGCCTGCTGACCGTTGTAGGCCTGGGCTGTCTTCAAGCCCACCAGTTCCACGGTGGACCCGATCTCCAGCACGTCCTCGCCCTCTGGGATCTCCTTCTTGCGGGGCGTGTTGGGATCCCGGTTCTCCTTCATGGCTTCCCGGTTCTCCTGCGCCAAACTCGAGCCCCCAAGAGAACAAAGCGGCCACTTGGACGAACAGCGAAAAAACAAGAACTGCCCCTGCATGCCATTGGGGTCCCCGAAAATTCTACCCGTGGCTGGATGTCAGTTTCCACAACAAACATAGGGGGCACCCGGGAAAAAAAGAGCGATGCGGCCCCCGCATTCGTGGGTCGCTGCCTTCATGGCCGCGGAGGCAGCTATGACCTGGGGCGTGGCCTCAATGAGCACCACGTTCTCCTCGGGAACTCTCGCCGGGATCTTTTAATGTGTTGTGTTTAGAATGGAAACCCCTTGTTTTGACTGGGGAGACCTGACTTTGTTGGGAGGGGCAACCCCCCCTTTTGGGGTGCTTCAGTTTTGGGAGAGGTCCCTCTCTTTTTTTGGTTTGTTTTAGAGAGAAACCATCGCTTTTTTGGAGGGAACCAAAGCATAGTTGGGGGTGTTGTTGGAGTAGGTAAGCAAACAGTCCCGGCTTTTTGCTTGGCGCGTTTGTGGGGTCAGGGGAGGAAGCAGCTGGCATCCTACGATTTTACAGCAAGGAAAAAAGGCTTGCAAAGCGCAACACTCAACCTTTTTGGCACTGAGATTTGACATGACATGTCTGCAATGCGTTTGGACCCAAAGTAAATGGTGGCGAGATTGGATTGTTGCAGTAGACGACCTTCCAGCCACAGACACTACAGGCCAGCTGCCAGGAGCCTAGAAAATGCGCTTGTCGAACCTTTAGAAACTCTTGAGAGTGGGTTGGCGTGGGGCGTGGATTTTTTGAAGCAACGTATGTTCACTGCACGTGTGTCTTGAGTGGAACATGCTGCGCATTCATTTGATGTAGCTTCTTGAATGGACATGTCAGCAACTGCCTTCTGTATTCCTAGCATGTATCTAGAATGTGGAATATGTTGTGTGTGTGTGTGTGGGTCAGCTTGTACTCTGCGTCTAATACTTGTTTGTTGCTTACATGCAATCCATACCCAGCATATGTGTGGCATTATGTTAGAGCATATGCCTTCGCATAGTTCCAGCATATACCTGGCCAAATCTTAGCATACATCCACAATATTCCCAGCTTGGACATTGTAGCTCCACTTGGTTTGCAGTCGTTAAACTTGTCAAGTGATTTCTCATAGTGGCCTAACACAGCCATAGCATGTGTCTAGCGAGTGTGTCTAGCATGTGTCTAGCATGGGTCTAGCATGGGTCTAGCATGTGCCCAGCATGTGTCTAGCATGTGTCTATTGCCCATCTATCTAGTTTGTCTGTGCCTAATTACCAGGGTCAGCGAGTTTGTACATACTAGATGTTCAGCTCGTTGCCGACATTGTAGCATGTGTCTAAAAGCATATGTCTACTAAGTCTAGCGCACATGAGCTTGTGGGGCATGTTTCTAGCCTGATGTCCGCGTATGTCTAGCGTGTGTTTAGTACATGTCTAGCGCATGCTTTTGTTTTCTTTCTTTTTCTGAAGAAAACCAGATCCTCTGTATCCATGTTGGCTGTGTTCGGGTCTGAGATTTTGTCTTTTGGCTACAAGGCTTTTCAAAATTATTCAAAACCAATTCCAAAAATCGACAGCAAGGCAAATTTGCAGACCCTATGTCCCTAGCCCAAGCCACTTTGGGTCTGCGTTTGCTTTTGGAAAAAAAATGCTTTGGAAATCTCAAGGTTACCCTTATTCTCCACAAGAAAGAAACTCGAGTCTTCAAAAACGCAGATCCTAAGTGGCTTAGGCCAAGGGCATAGGGTCTGCGAGCTTGATATGTTTTTTTGTTTTGATGGGGAGCTCGAGGTTTCTGTGCTTCTTGGAACTCTCAAGGGTTCTGGGGTGTCCACGACAAACAACAAACACCTCGAGTTGTTCCGTGCAGAAAAACAAATGCAGTCCCCATGGCACAGCTCTGGCAGTTGGGTTTTTTCTTGACAAACTCAAGGCGTTTTAGTTAGGGTCTGCAGTTGTTTGCTTCAGTTCGCTTTTTGGAAAACTCGAGGTTGCTTGTGGTTTGTGAGCAAACGCAGGCCCCACGACCACTCTTCTCGAACTCTTTCACAGGAACTTGCTTCCAAAGCTGTTTTCTACCAGCATTTTCGCTGTGCTGACTGTAGCGTTGACTGCCATGTTGACCAAGTGCTGACTGAGCGTTGCCTGAGCGTTACCGGTACGGTTGACTGAGTGCTGGAACTTGGCCTGCCACAAACAAACTGACTGGGCAGGCCTAAGCTTTTAATTCGAAGGCAGAACTGTCAAAACTGACTAGCTTTGCTTTGTTGAAATCCTGCACCGCCTCAAGGTGTGACCCACATCAAGGCAATAGGGCACGTGCCCCGTGTCAATAGTTCAAAGATGAACTGCGGCAAATCAGAGTGGTGCTGGAGTGTTTGCGAATTTCACCGTTGGGGTTGCGCACCTCCCAGAGAACCGATATTGAGTTGGGAGCACAAGGCATAATGATAATATTATCAGTTGGGTGGTGCAGGATTTCTTCCGTCAACAGTAGGGCCCGGCTGGCTGATGATTTCTCGACGAAATTCCCAGGAATTCCCATGAAAACAACTCCTTGCTTTGTCAGGGTGTTCCCAATGTAAGTCCATTGGCATGAAGCCATCTTCGGGATCTGTGTTTGAATGCTGTTGAGGCCCCAGCTCTTTGTAGCTGCTATTCGAGGCCGTGGCAGCTTTCTGAAGGGAGACAAGTTCAAACAGCTTTGTTTCCCCTGGATGATTGCAGCCAAGAACAAACATGACCCAAGAGGAAGCGCCCTGGGTCCCTAGGCAATCGACCATAGCTCAGACAAGGCAGACCTGCACCTGTTTCATCAGCACTCTTTCGGTTGACAAGCATTTGAACTGTAAGGGTGAGCCGGTGAACCCGTCTCATTGGAGGGCGGCTTCAAGGGCACCTTGTGAACCGACACCTTCGTTGCACAAGCCTGAAGGTTTCTGCTTGTCAAAGGTGTCCTTTTCATTGACCTGCGCCTATCCCCTGGCTCCCCTTGCCAACTCTCGCCGGCCTTCTTTACGCGGAAGAGCTGGCCGCTGTCCAGGGCCCTCACCTCATAGCGCTGGGACTCCTCGTGGCACTCGGCCACTCGGGCGATACACCCGTTCAGCTCGATGTGGTTCCGCAAGCCCCGGATGGCGACCTCAAAACGTGGGGCGCTTGGTGGCGCTTGGTGGACGTTGCATGGTGAGCTATGACCGCCTTGCTGCAAAAACGAACGAAAGTCTCCAGGAGCGAAGCTTGCTTTGAGCAGAACATTGCATTGCAAGGCCTTCAAGGGCATCCACACGAGATCTAACCTTCACTTACGCGGGCGTTGATCGTGGCTATAGCCAGTTGGTTGCCACTGGCCTGTGCTCTACTTGCCTTCAAACAAGCTTGTAGCCCAAGTCGTTACACCAAGGGGTGGCTGGCTTCCAAAAGAGGAACCCGGGGGTTAAGTCTACCTTGCGGATTGCTCACAAACTGGAACCCTGGTCACTGAAGGTCCACTGGCCCCTGCACGTTGAGGAAAACGAAATCCACACCCCTCTTCGGTCCCAGGGGCGTACGCGCCAGCGGCCAAACTGCCCTTGGTGTTGACCGTCAGCAAGTGATCCTTGCCCTTCACCTTCACCACTTGTCCTGCCAGTCAGGCGGGCAGCGGGCGCCGTTTCACGAAGATTCATAAGCTTCACTTATGGCCAAGGGGCCGACACTTGGGAAGGCACCCCGCCAGTTGGAAACACCCCTAGAGTTCGGCCCAAAAATGGCCATGCCTCACTGGGCGGTTTTCCGAAAAGTTCGCTCACCCTGGTGCACCAAAGGTACACATTCAGCCACCTTCTCTCCTTCAGCTCTGACTGGCCACCAAAACGGGAAGTGGACATTGCCAGCCAAGAGATGGCGCACATCAGAAGCTGCAACGCACACAAAGCAGCGGATGGGTCCTTTCACCTCCACCTCGTATTTCTGTTTCTCCCCTTTCGCCTTGACTACAGAAGCGATCTCGCCGTTCAGTACCTGCCCAGGCCAAAGCTCCAACATGTACGCCGGGCGCGAGTTTTTGGTCAGGCGGAAAACACACATCCGCATAAATGAGAATGTCTCAGAACTAGGAGGCTTTTGTAGATTCATAACAAATGAAAAATCCACATGATACCCTTGCCATCTGGGTCAGTGTGTGTGTGTGTGTGGGGGGGGGGGGCGGGGGTGCTACAGTGTTGTTGACTCGGTTTGCGGCTGTCTTGGTGCTTTGGCGCCGGAGACAGCCCCAAACCTTCTGCATAACAACTCCAAGCAATGAAGCCAGCTGCAAATCTGCGCATCTTGTAGCCAGCCAATGCCAGGCCAACCCAACAACCAACCCTACCGACTGACCGACCAACCAAGGCCCGGGCGAATACCAAGCAAACAAACATAATTCCCACACAAACCAACCAGAAAGCCAGTCACCCAGCCAGCCAACCAACCAACCAACCAACCAGCCAACCAGCCACCCAACCAAGCAGCCAACCAACAACAAACAAACAAAACGATTGGAGACGAAGCCGTCCAAATTGTGCCAACCATTTTTTTTCGTCTGAAGGGTAAGGTTGAGTGTTGAGTTTCCCTGCCCCCACCGCTCGCCGCTCAGGCCGGCATTGTTCGTGTCAGGCGGCTCACAAAGAAACAAAACAACAAACTGCCAGTCCAGCCGGCAGGCACGGCTGCGTTGGAGCCATCAATGGACCAAAATGATTTCATGTCAGGGGTACTTGAGCGACTCAGAATCCATGGGCCCTGCCAAAAATGTTCCGACCTCGTTTTCGAAACGGAGCCTTTTTCTAGCAACGGACATGGTCCTCCAGCTGCAAACCTTGCCACTCAGCTTCAACCCTGCCTCTCAACATGGTTGTTACCTGTGGCCAAAGCCCCTTCTCGAATTGGGACAAATTGAATGTCCACATTGCATATTTCCCCGGGTTGTTTGCGATTCGTTCGCAGCAACCGTGCACGTGCGTTCTTATCACGTCGCCATCATGTGCGCAACACACATAGAGTGTGTTGCTTGTCATGTTGTTATCGCGCACGCAAACAGCCCTGAATGCATGCAAGGTGTGTTTTTTTTTAATCATGTTTCGGCTACAACCACTGTCCGGTCTCCCCTTGTGCTAGGCTGCGAGAGTAGCATCGCCTCAGTTGGTGTTTGGATTGGTGATTCAGAGGTCAGGCAGTGTTTCTCCCTTCCGCGCAAGTCCACTGTTACCTTCCAACCATAAGCGGGAACATGGTTTGTCCCTTTTCCAAGTTCACTAAGCGAAAACCAGAAGCGCAGGATTAGATGGCAAGAGAATCTCAAAGGGTTCTGGCCCAACTTAGAAATACTCCAGAGACTGTGGGAAGAACTCAACCAATTCATGCACGGATCCGGCTATGGAAGGGGAGCACCGTATATCCTACCAAGAACAAGCAACAAGACTACCTCAACTTCTGTCCCAAAAATGATATTCTTAGATTCTAGCCAAATTATGTTCGGTCAACCTCAATTTGTGAAACACAATGTGGTTTGATTAGAACCCCTGCTTGCTGGTTTTGATTGTTGGTTTGGAGGTATTCCGGGGGTGGCTTCCCATTTATCCTCTACAACGCCCAAATCCAAGTCTCCACCAAAGCACCGCTTCCGTTCCCCTCCCACCAGTTAACCTGGAACCTGACAGGGGGGGTCCTTTTAAAGCTCATTCTCCTGTCAACATTTCGGACCATTCCAATTCACGTGGCTTCCAAATTTCAGAGCCCAGAAATGGCCATAGGTCAAAAGCCCGGTTACCCCCCAGTGAACATCCGATTCAATCCAACCACTAAAATAGGAAGCCTAACATGGGTGGTGCATTCACCGAAAACCCCAAAATGGCTGTGGGTCAAAAATTGGTACCTAACATGGAACCCTGGTAAATAGAACCAAGGACTAAAACCTGCGGTTTTGTGGTAGTTCAATTTTGACCCATACCCAAATGGGATCCCAACCCGGTTTTGACCACCACAGCCAACTCCGAAAAGTTTTCGCGCCTGCTGGGCTCCTGTGAGGCCGCGCAGCACCACGGCGACGCCCTGCATGGAGTCTTGGTCCTCCTCCTCCTGCTCCGCCTGGCTGAGCGGCTGGTGCCATAGGGGAATGATAAATGGAATGACCCCAAGAAAAACCATCCAACTGGTGGCTTCCTTTCAGGGAAACCGCCAGGTTTAAGACCCATCGGGTTGAACCACATGAGTCTATGTTTTTAGGTCCCACCCTTTTTTAACGAAGGTTCAAGAGCGTTTAAGCGTTGAATGTGTGAATTATTTCGCTCATATGGCCAGGATTGTTTGAAGGAACACACTGCCACAGTGGCTGGACACATGTGGACATAAATCCCAACCCAAATGATGTCCACCAGAGGGTCACCAAACCAAACTCACAACAATGTTCCCCTTTGGAATCAAGGGTTGGAATGAACACCAGGTTGGAATGGAGATTGCTCTTCGGATGTCTCAGAAAACACATACCCTGTGTGCTGAAAAAGGGCGCCCTTGTCACTTGGCAAGTTGCATCTCTATGATTGGTACACATGGCATTGTCTCACATTAGGGAACCCCAATATTGGCTGGTGTCCTTCTAAGACCTTTGAAGGAAAACCAAAATGGGTACCCTCAACAAAGACACTCACATAGACAGTGCATCGATTTGATCCTGCACGGCCAGCCAGGCAAGCTCCAACGCCAATGGCATCTGAGCCGAACCGGTGGTGCTGCGATGCAAACACAAACACAAACCGTAAGGCTGTAAGGGACTTCTTGGCTCATTTAAGGACTAGTCTGCCTAGAGGTATTCTTTGTGGGGTTGGCTTCAAGGGAAGCTATAGGGACCCCACCCATCCCGTGAGTTGCAATCAACATCCTGCGTGGGCGAGGTGGACCCGAACAAATGGGGGACGATGGGAGCAAGCCCGTTGCGGGCATGCAGTTTTTTCCGCTGTTTCCATGAGCTGCTATCAACTTGGGGGCGTGCCAAATTGGGGACCCCTCTTTTGGATGGTGTAGGGGAAACTGAAAAGAACTCCTGTTTCTCAAGATCAGGGGAACCCTCCTCCTCCTGTTCGATGTTGGCTGGGTTTTTCCAGGCAAACCATCCAGCAGTTCGGGTTCAAGCGATTTGGGGGAGTCTCCGCCTGTCTGAAACCACCCTATTGGCAAGAGACCAACACCCATGATCGGTCCAAACGAGCGCCCACCGAAAGGAACCCCCCCCTGCAACCGGATCTTCAAAAACCTCACTAAAACATGGCACTAAAACATGGCAAAATAGGAACCCCTGCGCCAACCTTTGAAACAATTAGTTTGTTGTCTGGCAAGTTGCTCTTGTCAAACCACCAAACATCCAACAAGAGACGTCTCCCAATTGGGTCATGGTCAAGCCCATCCCTGCAAGACGGTCCAGGACCATCCGTACCAACCCCTGACATAAGAGAGTTTCGACCAAGTTCGGGCCTCAGCCTCCGCATCCATCTGGTAGAGCCTGGACAATAGCTGCACCAGGCCCTCTCGGTGCCTCCGTCGGGTCAACAAGTTGGGCTCCTCATCGATGAGCTGGTCCACCAACGTGTTGATGTCCTGCCGAAAACCCTCCCCGATGTTTCTTTGGTGGCTTGAGCCAGACATGCTGAAATGGTGGTGGTTGCGGCAGGATGACGCCAGGGTCCAAAACAAAGGCTTTGGAACCTGCCACATGACAGACAAGTGCTCGCTGCAACCTCTCCCAACCGCAATAGTTGGGTGTTTGTTAAATTAGAAACGCGCCCCCTTTAAATGGTCTCTCTCCCTGGCAGCCTTCAAAAGGCCACTATTTTTTCGCTAGGCTGCGACAATGCCCGGTCGGTGTGGGGGTTCCCAAAAAATATGGAGCCATTTTAGACGGTTTGAGAATTTGGGAAACTGGCCTGGTTACGTTTGGTCCATGTGGCAACACTATCCCTTTATGGTTGAGCAACAGGATGGAGCCCCGTCTAATCAGGGTTTCCCACTTCTAGAGTGGGGACATTTATTCAAAAAGGAGGTCAACCAAAAAAGGGCGGGTCAACCAAAAAGCCCAGCGAAGGTGGGGGGGCCGACCAACGGGGTCAACCCAAAACGGTCGGTTTCCTTCTTCGAACCCAAGGGCCCGAAATCAAAAGGAATTGATTCAAGGGGCTAAAACTCCACCTTCCTTCTTCTAGCCTTCTAGCCCCAAAAAATCGACATCAACCCCAAGGGCCCCCAAAATAGGCAAAACCACACCCAAGGGGCCACCGGGGCATGGTCTCCTTGCCAGAGGTGACCTCAGACTTGGGCGGGAGGTTCTTGTGCTGGACGGACAGCTGGTGCTCCTCATCTTCCACCTGGCGGCTTTTTCGGATGCCCTGTGAACTGGGAGCGTGTGCTTGAGGGAACCCCAAAGGACAGGAAGGGCCTAGAACTCGTAAACCTCTGGTTGCTATTTTCAAAAGAAAGCTTCGCTACTTTGGGGCTGATGGGCCAACCTCGGCCATCTGGAGGCCAAAGAGGCCCCAGTCAAACTGGCACTTACCCACTTTTTCCAATACTCGCGCAAGGGCTGCTCGCAAGCGGTTTCGTGGCCCACAACCCTCTCTTGCAAGACTACATACAGTCCTCTTGAGAAGGGAGCCCGCACACGTCCAAGTTTTTAAGTTTGTGTGACCGACAAAACCAGGATGCCCGGAAATGCAGAAGAGAGCGACACCAGAAAAGGCATCCCAAAGGGACACGCGCATTGAAAGTCTCAAAACAGCACACAGGGCGCCTCAAGGCACAGGATGCTACAAGCAAGCGCTCCGTTCTTCTACCTCTCACATCATCCCAAAAGACAACTAGCTTTGCATCGGCCAAACTGGTGATGTGTAAAAGCAAAAAAAAGAAGTTTATGCGCAGGGGACCCTCAACCACCAGCGGTCAAACGCAAGCTCAGCCCTGAAATTGCATTGAAGCTCTGTTCCGGCAATTCCTCAAATCAGGAATTCGGCATGTCCCAAAAGCGCGCTGTCACTGTCACCTCCTGTGCTGATGGCGAAGTGAAACTCTGGGCAACTTGACTCTCCCCGTCCCTTCTGACCGCACTGATATGCGTGCCCCGAGTGGCAACCTGCGGGACTGCGGCAACCATGTCCAAAGCATATGCTCGCTCTGTGATTGGCCCCAATTAGGTCCATTGAGCGTGGGCTACTAGTGTTCATGAGACGAACCAAAAGGAGACCTACCTGTTTTCAAGATCGCCTTTTCTGCCTGATTAGAGTCACAGGCAAGACGCAGCAGAGGGATATGTACCTCGGATCCCGAAGGGACAGATTGCCTGGCCGACCTTTTGACCGTTCTGGCGTGCCTGCAAGAGGAAACCTGCTTATTTCTGGGCATGCACTTGTCCAATACGGTCGTCCGAAAACAGATCGGCCAGCCTCCAAACCAACGCCGGGTGGGTCGTACCGAAGCAAGAAGCGCTTCCTTGGTGAAAGGAAGCTCGCATAGCTTTGGACCAGTCCCAGTTTGGGGTCAAAAGCGTGTGCCCGGACAATGGCTCAACAGCTCCTTCACTTTTCCTGCACACAACACATTTGAGAGGTGCCAGTCTTGGGCACGGCATGTGAGGCTGCCAGTTTCATGCGAAGCCATCTCCGCTGGATTGTTGCCACGGTGGTTCGGCCCGCCACCCTTCCGGCTCGTGTGGGATTGATGGCTTGCAATACTCCCCACTCGCCGCTTTGAGCAAATTCTAGATGAAGACATACAAGAGTCCAACCTACAATTCGGGGCAAAGGATACTGCGAACAACTCTAAAAAAGTAACTCGGGAAGGTGTCTGTTTGTGGCTGTGCGGGTGCGCGGGTGTATGGATTCCTAGTCTGCCAGGCACCGTAACTGCCCCTGGATTCTCACTGGGGTTGCGCGCGCACGGGTCTCCCCCCCAAACATGTTTCCGTTTTAGCTGGAAAAGCCGTTTGCTTGATATAATACATAGATATATATATATATATAAACAGGAGATTCATTTGGACCCCTCACACTCGCCGGTGCTTGCACCAAGCCTCGAGTCAATAGCCTAGTGACTGTCAGCATGACCATGGGCAACAAACACTAGCGTGCACTCCTGTCTCCCCGGACACGCAACAAAATCGATCGCCTGCAGATGAGAAGGCCCTTAGTTTTCAAGCGGTCTGACGAGTTTCCGGATCTACCGGCGACCCATTCTGAGACCGGAGCCACTGGCGGATTTGGGGCTTCAGTCAGTCAGTACATTCCACAGAAGGCGGCTCCCGGACACCCAAGCAAGAGACCAATGAAACGATGGTGACTTGCACATGCTCGGCAGTGAGATCAAGCGTCGGCCAGCCTCGGACCTTCAATGCACCTAGAGACTTAGTTGCTTGTCTCGGATTTGGGAACCTTTGACATGGAAAGTGTCCTTTTGGGAACCAAACGACGGTGGCCTAAACAAAAAATGGTCAACCCCCCCCCCCCCTCCCGGCCCGGTTGTCCCTTTGCTGTCTCTTTGGGGCCCGCCCAAAATCAGCTTCCCTCCAATTGGCGGTTGGATTTGCGGTTTGGTGGTTTTCCGGTCTAGTGTCCCATTTACCCTGAAGAACCACAAGGCTTCAAATCCCAATCCAGTTCGCCAACGAAGGGTTGCTTGAAAAAAGGATACCAAAACGATCGCGCCCAAACGCCAACCCTTCGCAACTTGGCCAGGTCTCAACTTCATCTCCTGAAGTTGGCCCCGAATTGAGCCCAGACACTGCGGATCGGGCGGATCGGCTGTGTCTAAAGGTCCAACAGAGGGAATCCCGGTTTGGTAAAACTTGGGACATGCAAAGAAAAAAACGTGTTCAGGGGAGCCCTGGAAAAGAGAAATACTCACAAAGGACACCAGGGCCGCCTTCTAAGGGGGAACCTCCCCGTGTCTGTTTGATCCTCTGGTTCGTAATGGCCATTCGCCCTCTCGCCACTCTATGCAAGCATTGTTCCATACAGATCTCTGTCGTCTGTTTTAATGAACTGGACCTATTGAAGTGGACAGCAATTACATGGATGTGTTTGCCCGCCAAGCACTTGTAAGTATGCCAAAAATCATAGCCAGTTCTCGGCTGCTCTTCGTTCAATGATTCTAGCATACTGCGGATGTTTCCTGCTGGCATGCAAGCCATGGCTAGGAGTTTTCCTGGTTGCATGTTGGTGTTTGTCTGCATCACGAGGCACGCCACTTCACGAGGATCATGATGAAAACGGCACTGCCCGGCCATCAGCAACCAAAACTGGAACCCAAACTGTCAACTAGAAGTTTAATATAATAAAAGATAGAACGGGTGAGGTTGCAGGAAGGACACGCCGGAAGCACAAAGGCTCGCAAAAAGCAAATGAGAGAAACCTGCCGGGGCCTGCAGCAGCTGCGTGAGCTTGTGATTCCGGTAGGGCACCTGCCGTTTCCGCTCCGCCACTGCCTGCCGTTGGGTTCGCGTGCCAGGTCCCGGGTCCCGCATGGAGCTCGTCAAGCCCAGCCGATCGGACGGGCCAACTCCTACTTTTGGTCTCTCGGAGGGGCCAGGGCCAGGGTCTGGCAGTTGCACATTTGGCCCCCCGGAATCGTATGTTGAAATTCTCAGGTGGGCGATACGGAAATCAGCGAGCCAGGCCCGGCATGGAAGGTGCCCATTTCCATGCGAAAAACCGTGCGCAGTTCTGACGGCTGCCCTCTCAAATTACCCCAAGTGCCCAAATGGACGTTCAGATCACCGGGCACACAAAAAGAGCAACATGGAAGATCAGTATTCATAGTATACCAGCTTCAATCTCCCTGCCTCAGCATCCCCCAAATGATGAAGAGGTAGATTTCAATGACTAGTTGCAAGTGTTGGGCATAGACTTGAGGCTGGTGGTTCCTAAAACAAAAACCCACCAAACGCCATCCCAATGTGGGCCCTTTTCCTTTTTGCTTGCACACCACTTGGATGCCTGCCAAACAGGGTTCCTCTTGTCCTCTTTAAGCATCACCCCAAAGGTAAACCAATCCAAACATATCCCTCCCACAACAAGACGTTAAAAATCATACTCAGAAAATGGACATACAACAACCCCTGAACCAATTCACAACACGTTTTCCGGGTGGATCCGTTGTCCATACCTCCAAGGGGATGCCTTCGGACGACTCCTTCGGGGTGAAGCCCCGGCGGTTTCGACGCCTCGATGACATCCCCCAGGGCCGTCAGGGAGCGATTGATCTCGATGGCCTCTTTGAGCTGCTCGCCAGTAGCCTACGGCTTGGGCGGACAGCATGTGAGACGTGGACGCCCCCCTTGTGATTTTTTCAGCATGTGTCCTGCTTTTGTTAGGGGACCCAAAAAATGGGTGGACTTTTCCTTTTTGGTTTCACTTTCAAAACAGCACGAGAAGGGCGCCCCAAAAAAGACATACCCATATGTGTCACGGTCAAAGACTTCTTGAGGTTGGTAGGGCGGGTCAACCTCTCAATTGGTGGTTTAGACTATCCAGGGTTCCTCATGACCATCTCCCATATTCTCCCATATTACAGAGTTCTGGCCATGGCACAAATGGGTATGAATGTTGACAACTCAATATATGTTCCACCTCAATATGCATCCTTGCCGCGGTTGTCCCAAATCCCTACTAAAAGGATCCATGACCATCCTGCTAAATCCAATAATATCACCGGTGTTCAACCATGACACACATGAATCTGAAGTGGACTTGGACCCTTCAGAGGACACTTTCTAGATGGTTGAAGCTAGTTTCAAAGTTTGAGAAGATTCCCAATGAAATGTCACAGCCAGACTTCCAGCCTATCAGCAACACTCAGGATAGGCGATGTTCGAAACTACCAAAAGGCTGAAAGTAGGGCACCAAGGAGAAACCGAGGCCAACGGCTGCTGGGTCTTTGAGCACTTGGAACCTCAAACAATCGGGTTGTTTCTTCTTGAGATGGCACCCTTATGGAGTTTGAAGAACAAGAAGCCAAAAGGAAATAGAGCCATTGCGGGTGGCTCGCCCAAATTGAGACAAATTGTGACAAACCCAAGATCATTCTGGGCTGTTCAAAGTACAGGGTTCGAATTCTATTGTTCCTTTCTCCCTAGAGGGAAACCGCAAAGGGGACCTTTGACTCTGCGTAACCCAAGTGAGGATTGTAGTCTCCAAATATGGAATTGGTTGGCTTCAGGGTACACTCTTTGGGTGGTGGTTTTAAAGAGAAACCAAACGGAAACCACCCTATTTGGGGGACTCCATATCCTATTTGAAACAAATCCATGGCAATCTTTCTAGTGGCGCCCTACGATTTGGCTTGGCGGGTGGGGAATCCCTGACCCCAACAAAAGGCTCTTGTGCATTGATCCCACAATACGCTGGCAGGCTAAAAACAGGCAACCAACCGACAAGCTGCATCTGCCGCTTGTGGATGTTGCTCGCAGGCCGACTTGTGCGGACAATCATCTTGGAAGGTAGCACGCTTTGCATTCGGCTGCTTGGATCTGGATTCCAAACGGTGCCACTGCCGGGGTTTACACTGCAAGCCAACGGACTGTGCCAACGTCAGGACGCCTAGCGATTGTCAGCGCCAGCTTCCAAGCAGCTCACGACTTCCTGATGCCCGTTGCGAGCGGCCAAGCGTGCGGCTGTGTCTCCATTGTGGTCCGCCTTGTCCTTGTCAGCGCCTGCTTCCAGCAAGCAGCACACAGTGTCTCGGTGGCCATAGATGGCGGCAAAATGCATAGGCGTAACTCCGATATTGTTGGCCTTGCCCTTATCAGCACCAGCAGCCAATAAGCAGCGTACAATGTCCGTGAAGCCATTCTGAGCAGCCCAATGCATTGGCGTGTCGCCGTTGTCATTGGCCTTATCCTTGTCAGCACCAGCTTCCAACAAGCAGTCCACAACGTCTTTGTGGCCCTGCAGGGTGGCGAATTGCATCGGCGTGTCTCCACAATTGTCCGTCTTGTCCTTGTCAGCCCCAGCTTCCACCAAGCAGCGCACAGTGTCTTTCTGGCCACGCCTGGTGGCTAAATGCAAGGGAGTTTTCCCAACATTGTTGGCCTTGTCCTTGTCAACACCAGCTTCCAGCAAGCAGTGCACAACATCTTCGTGACCATTGCAAGCGGCCCCATGCAAAGGTGTCTCTCCGATTCGATTTGCCTGATCCTTGTCAAAGCCAGCCTCCAACAAACAGCGCGCAGTTTCTTTGTGGCCAAGACTGGCGGCCAAATGCAAGGCAGTCTGCCCGCCGCTGTCCTCAATGTGCCTGTCAGCACACGCTTCCACCAAGCAATGCACGATGTCTTTGTGACCATTCACGGCTGCCAAGTGCATGGGCGTCAGTCCGCCATTGTCCACTTTGTTCTTCTCAGCACCAGTTTCCAACAAGCAGTGCACGATGTCTTTGTGGCCTTTCATGGCTGCGACATGCAATGCTGTTCTTCGTCCTCCACTTGCCTCTGGGTCACAGGGTCTTTCTAAGAGGTTCACCTGAGTTGGTCTTCATTCCTGCACAAGCTTGTTTTGTGCGGAACCAACTGTCTTCATCCGAAAACGCAGTTAAAGGTTGGCTCGAACCAACATGCAACCAAGTCGCAACCTTTGCCGCATCACCGTCGCGCGCTGCCTGCAGCAACTCAAGGCCATCGTCATCGGCGTAGGGCCGAACCACGGCCACCATCTCTGCATCGACCCATTGGCTGGGTACTGCGAGAACCTGATCGCCGCAGATCAATGCAAGCTGGCGGAAATTCTGCACCTGCAGCTGTCTGGCCACATGGCGCCGGAGCACGTCCAGAAACCTGCCACCTTGGTGTTCCTGCCACCAGGCAGCGAACTCTGCTTCTGTCATCACATCCTCACCACTCACCGTACGAATTCGCCCCATGGCGATGGAGTTGCACACAATACAAGTGTCAGCCTGGGCAGTATCCAAAATTTGCCGATCTGCAGTCATTCATAGACTCCTTGATGGCTGGTTGAGGTACAAGCCTTGGGGAGCTCATCAAACATAGAGCCCAGAGCCCAACAATCTCTATCTGCATTCAGTTGCTTTCGCACTAAGAATCCCATCGTCAGAATAGCTTGAATGCTCGAAGTTGTTTGCTGAAACCTGTTGCGAGCTCTCCGCTGTTTCAGCCAAGACGTCAGCAAAGCCACCCATTCTGGTAGCGGGCTAAGCGATTCCCTTGAATGCAGGTGGGGAAAATGCCCAGTCTGTATTGCGGATGGGCATACCTTGACTCAAACAAAGCAAGACCATATGGCTCTGTCTCACAATAGTTGGAACGTCTTGTTGAATGGTGGTAAAGGGAAGCCCAACAAAACGCCACTAAAACGCCTCACAAGAAAGCTCAAACACCGACCTTGGATTTAGTTTCTGCTTTGCAACCCATGCTCTCTGGCAAAAGACACAAAGGCAGAGTCTGCACATGCCGCTTGACCAATTCTGACAAAAGCCACACATAGCAGCCAATACACACAACTGATCAGGAAGGTTGTCTGATGTATGATCACACAAATGAGCAGCCAATACAGCAGCTGTTGACTTGCGGTTCTGCCAATTGTGAAGGATTGAATATGGACCTTGCTAGAACCTCATGAATTCAAGGACTAAGAAGTGGAACCTACTAACATGGCCGATAGGTGCTTTAGGTGCTTCTCAAATGGTCTGGACCATTGCAAAGTGAAGCTCAACCTCCACAATCTGTGATCCAGCGGCTGCCTGTTTCTCCTTTTGGTTTTGGGGGTGACCCTTCAACACCACTGTTTCACCTGTTTTAAAACCGGGAAGTCAGAATGAGGGCTTCCTGGAACAACCACCCCTCCATACACTGCGATCTTTCTCGGCCCATACAACTGTCCTGTAAGCACTTGACCAATATCACATCATGGGCATCAAAAAACAAAGAACGATGGGGGGTCCATCCTTCTTTTTCAGGGTACCCCTTTGTGGTTTGAAGGGAAACCAACCGGAACACCGTTGCGCCATTGTACGGCACCCCCCCATTGCGAGCCGGCTATGTCCTGCCTCGCTCTTCTTGAGCCGCTCGGAGCCCCCAAGGTCACACTGGGTTCGGTCGCTTGTCGCAGCGCCGATGAGGAAGGGTGGGAGCTTGTGTTTGTGGGGCGCATGGACGATTAGAGCTGACTTGGGTACCAACCCCCTAAAACTCTACAACTTGATCGATGGAGTGTTTGTCTCACTAAGTGGTTGATGGACGGAGGGACGGATGGATGGATCGATGGATGCATGCATGCATGAATGCATGGTAGGGCGCAGCTCAGCTGAAAAGGCAAACAAGTCAATGATGGGTCCCTACTTGTGCTTCTACAACTCGACCCACAGCCAGCCAATTCCACAAAACTCAAACAACAGCTTGCCCCAAACAGCTCTCCACAAAAAAGATACCACTCCGTGCCCAAGCCGCTTCCTCGTCTCACCTCCCAAGTCTGAGCCGCAGACCAGCACAAGCTTCCCAGACACCAGCTCCTGCGTCGCCACATCCATAGTGGTCACCTGGCCGATGGAGCTGGCTGATTGTATACAATGGTTCTCTGTTTGCTGGAGAGCCATAGTCATTTCCAAAAGGTCATATAAGGTTGACAAGTTACACCAAAAAAGCAACCCAACTATGAACCCCTTTGGACTTGTTGCGGGGTCTGGTTTCCCAGAATTCAGTGACAAGCCATAAACTAGGGTACTAGCAGTTCACGGGTTCATACATTCAGCCTTTGGGCTAAATGTATGTGTACCCTGTTTCGGGCGGTAGCCCTCTCATTTGGGTCGTAGTTCGTAGTTTCTGAGTCATGTCGGTTGTATTCAGTTTTGGGGCAGTTCTGGACGTTTTCAGCCCGCCCCCTCTCATTCTGGTCGCAGTGTCTGAATCATTTGTGGTTGTAGTTTTCGCTCATGTTGGCCGTAGCACAACTCAAATTCATGAGCCAGCGGCTGGGTCTGAAAAGCATACATGCTTCCAGGACCAGTGTAGAACGACCGAAGAACTAGGACCGAAACAACTCTCAAAGTAGGACCGAAACGAGTCAACCAAACGAATCTGGGGCCGACTGCGGAAACTAAACGACTCCGAAACTAGGACCGAAACGACTGTCAAACTAGCAGCAAAAAAAAACGGTATGGTTTCACCTCAGCGGGCTTTGTGTTCACTTCAATCCTGGGAAGCCATTGGCCACAAGGCTGGGACAAAAACTGCGCGAGATTCTGCAAATGCCCAAAGGGCGCTTGCTGCAAGGACTGGCTGAAACATCAAGCGGTTGACTGGTACTTGCAGGAGCAAGTCAACGCATCTACAAGGGCCAGCTCCAATCCCGCCTTAGGTTGCCTTGCGTGCTCTCGAAGCCCTCTTTTTGAGGAGCGCCCCTTTTTAAATGACATATTCAAACAGCTGTTCTAAGCAGCCTGGTTTGAACCAAATCCCCCTTGCCCGCCTTGATGGTGAACAGGAGGTGGGACCGTGAGCCTGAGTCACACGACAGTTGCCCCACCAGTCAACAGACTTACAGGCCAGTGGGCCAACCAAAAAACGCCTCAGAAAATGTGGTTTCTGTTGGTTACCAAAAGAACCAAGGAAGGTTCCTTGGTTTCCTTAGAACGTCATTGAACATCGTTGCAGTTGAGGTTGCGCTTTTTCGCGCAAACCTCATCCTTGGCTCTTTCCGGCAATCCGAGAGTCACGGCTCAGCCAAACCCTTCGGCAAAAACGGCGGCTGCTTTTGGATCTGTCATCTCCAAGAAGGGCCGTTTGCCCTACGCCGCCCCCGAATCAATCTACAGGCTTATGCTTTCTCAAGAAAAATATCACCATCACAAATGGGTACGCGTCAAAATTAGGAACGCCCTTTGTTCGTCACTTTATACGGGAACCAACAGAAAAAGCCGAATGAAGAGAAGTATCATTTGGCCACTTGCCCAACTGGCCACTTGCTCCACCTGGCGTTCTCCTAACAGCAGCTGCTTGGAGTCCGGGAAGCCAAAAAAAGCCCCCCTGCTATGTGAGCAAACAAAATGACGTCGCAGGCCCAGAAAGAAGGAACAGAACGACACACAACTTACACGCGTACCAAGAACAGTGGTCCCATGAGCTGCTGCAGTCGTTCCTGGGATTGTACTTGTCCAAGGCCTCAAACACAACCGCAAAAACAGGGGCAAAGCAGGGGCTTGATTCATGTCTAATTTATTTGAAGCCATACAAGGTGTTGTTGATTCAGTGAAGCCCATTGGAAATATGATCCAGCACCGTTCTTTTGACCAGTTCAGCAAGGTATCAGGGGGCCATTTCCGCAAAGTAATCAGGCACTGCTCCTCAAAGTCCACAAACAGGCATCAACAAGCAGCTCACAAACCAGCATTGTAAGGGCAGCCCACTTGCCGCGTTTCTCACACCAAACGAAGAAACCCGCCGCAGGAGGTTTCCCGCAGGACCAGATCCGACGCTCGCGCCGGGCCGGGCCCCGCCGGGCCGGGCTGCCGGGCTCTCGGAGTTGATGGCGTTGGCCGCGGTGGCGCGGGCGGCCAGGCCCCGGTAGAGCAGGCGCTTCAGCTCCTTGGGGTCCTGAAGCGCTCCACTCTCAAAAGGGGCCCATGGGTCTCGGGGGCCCATGGGCCCGGCATGGGCCAGGGGCTCGGATGGGCCATGGGCTCCTTCCAGAGGCTCAAGGTGAGTGTTCGGCTTCAGCTACGAACCCTCACGCAGTTACCCCAGGTTTAGGCAGTCTCAGGAGGGGAGCATTGCGATGCAGTATGAGGTCTAGGGGTCGGCTGACCTTTTTGCTCATCCCCTGTCTTTCTGAGGTCAAGGCATGCGTGCAGAACATGGGGTAGTTCCTTGCTGTGATACCAAAGCGGCTGCCCTGTGTTCTCAGGTTTTTGTGATTTCCTGCACGACACACAAAGTGGCCCCGAAACCTGTCTTCCAATGTTTCTTTCCTGGAACCCCAAGTTTGGCTCTGTTTTGGATGGACTAAGCCACCCATGTTTACCGCGTGCTGAGAAACACACCCTTTGAGTACATGACACAAAATTGGCATGGTAGAGGTGTCTTTTTGACTAGGGTATCTTTCTTGTTTTCGGCTGGAAACATCCCCAGCATCACCTCAACCTCAACTGACAGTTGCTTGGGGCTGTTTTAATTAGGATAGGTGTTGGCTGGTTTGGATCTTACTGAGGGCGGATCTTGAATTGGTTTGGGGTTAGTTTAGGCTCGGCAAGGTGTGTGTGGGTTTGGGGGTGGCTTGGAGCTGATGTGTGCTGGGTGGGCTGAAGCAGTGGCTTTAGGGTTGCCTGGGGATGTGGTTAAGTGAGTTTTGCGCTAGGTTTGGTGGCTTGGGGCGAACGCACCAAAACTAATCCCAAACAGCCCAAACCTCAAACAAGAAAGCCTGCGCAGCACAAATCAGCTCCATACCAAACCCAACAGCAGCCCGCATAAGCCTCTTGCCAAGGCTAAATCAAGCCAAACCATCCCAGACCCGCCCTCATTGAGTTCAGAGCCAGCCTGATGCCCAACCTATTGAAGCAGCGCTAAGCAACCCCCGAGCCAATGAGCTAACGGCCAGGTCCAAGTGAGGCCGGTGACGCTTGGGATGCACCAACCGACCGACCGACCGACCAACCAAGCAACCAACCAGGGAACCAGACCTAGGCAAGAACCAGCCCGAGTGTTTTCAGCAAACAAACATATCATCCAAGGTTGACATGCCGAATCAGCTTTCGCAGAAGTCCGTCTTTAACAAATCCGATAATTTCCCTCTGACAGTGATATACTTTGTTTTTTGCAGCCTTTGCTGGCCATCCAGGGCAAATGGTCCAATTGATGCTCTTATCTATGCAACTGGGATCATGCATGTCCTTGCATGTCATGTGACAGTTGACTTTGCAACATCTCGTGACTGAACCAAAACAAAACACTGCAAACGAACACAGATTTGCCGGCCTCATTATGACGCTCCATGTTCTAGCCGAGAAATAGACGCTGCAACTTGCATTGCGTCAAGCTTAAACAGCGATGCACACTGTTCCCCATAGTCCCTTTGCAAGCATCACAGGAAGCTTATGCCAACTTCCCAAAAGACAATGTTTCACCCACCCTTCAACGGGGATGTGGGTCTATCTCAAAAAATGGAAGGATCTTCCAGCCTTGGCCTCTTCCTCGCAGAGATTGTCCACCTGAGAGCACTGGAGGGCTTGACCTTTGAATTGAGAGTGTTCAGATAAAACGGGTCACACGGAAGGGGCTATCTTTTTGGTACCGTTTGAGTAGATCTTTTTTGCAGTCTAGCAGCAAAGGAGAAAAAAAAAAAAAACATACACCATCATGTACCCGGTTTCTGTTGGGGCGGTCCCCCAGTTTCAGACAAACCCACACCCGGTTGTGGTCCTCCGCTGAGCCAGTCCGCATGCTCCAAAGAGAACGGTGCTGAAGGGAGGCACACTCTGTAAAGCTGCACCGCGCTAACTCAAGAGGGCATGAATTTCACTTGGGGACCCTGTCGCATACATCACATGGGGACTTCTGTTTGACAGCGTTCCAACTCGAATTTCATAGCTCTGCGGCTCAGCACAACAAGCACTGGCGGGCGCTTGTGATCTGGCAACGGAGCCTCATGTCATGAAAAAAAACGCGTCAGAACGACTTACTTTTCATATGTTATGCTAGAGCCCTCCCTTTCTACCCCACCCCCTGGGTACTTGCAGATCTGCAGGCCCGGCCTGCATGCCACCCTCGCAGTTGCGAAGGTTCAGCTTGGGGCTGCAAGGAGGACCTCGGAGATGGAAGGTGCACCGACCCATAGATGGTTGTGTGCCCAGCCAAGCAGCTCAGCTCCTGTTCCAAAGCCATCCAAGAAAGGTTCTGATGACATCCCTGGATGGCACAGCTAGAATCATGACCCCCTCAAGGCGCCGCAAAGAGTAGGATAGGTGTGACAGTGCGTTTTCGAAACGTCCTAAGGGCTGCTTCTAAAACAGCTGAGTGCAGTCAAGGCAGAACTGAACTCACCAAGTCTGGGCTGGGCTGCAGCCATTGTGCCAGTGGAGGTAGGACTCTGAGAGCAAGTGGGGAGCACTCATGCACAACATAACTATCGTGGTATTTGGGATTTCAAAGACAGAGATCTCTCACCGTATCGCTTGCCGGCTGCGCTTGACTACGCCGACAGAATCTGAGATATGTTGAAGTCGCATGCGAGGGGAAGGCAAGGGAAAAAGGAAGGAGAGGGGGAAGGGGAAAGGGAAGGGAAGCAATCTCATCCTGCGCCATGAGGCAATCTAACATACCGATGTTCTTTGACACATGGCGCGTGGAACCTGCCAGACGCTCTCAGTCAAACTCCAAAACGCCCGAGTCGAAGTTCCTTTCTTTCAAGCTGGTAAAACCTGGGCGATGGCTTGGCCTTTGGGCCTGGAACCAAAGGATACCATGGACCGACATGGGCTTGGCCTTCGGCAACTGAGACTGAAGCTGTTTTTTGGCCAGCCCATCCGCGACTCGCTTCAAACGAAATACTCTTACGAGGGATGAATAAGGCCAAACCCCTCTTTAAGGTCTCTCGACCCGCGTCCAAGCGCGGGCTCTAGCAGGGCCCCGGGCTCTTGCCCCGGCGCTCCTTGCGGAGCAGGTCCACCAAACGGTTCCGGTAGAGCTCAAACTGGGCACGGGCCGTCTGGCTGGTTCCCATCCAACCACCATATCTACTTACCTCAAAGGGGATTCCCTTGGCCAGTCACAAACGGTGGCAACCTGAACTGAACCGACCAGAAGTAGCGGGAAAGATGTACACCGCTTCTGTTTCCAGCTGGGAGTGGACATACCACAAGACCCAAAGCATGAAGGGACTTGCGGATGGTGAAGGAAACTGACCTTGTGGTGGCGCCAGCAGCAAACGATGGCCACGCGCAAAAATGGGGCCAACCAACTATGGGATTAATATGCTCAGAAGCATATGCGATGTATTGCAGGAATAAAGAAGACAAAAAGAGTGTATTGTCAGTTGGCTTGATATGTATACTGTATACCATATACACACATATATTCAGGAATGGTTTATGTGTGATTCATTGTTTTGCTTGTTTGCTTGTTTGCTTACTTGCATGCTTGCTTGCCTGCTTGCTTGCTTGCTTGCTCGCTCGCTTGCTTACTTGTTTGCTTGCTTGCCTGAATACTTGCTGGCTTGCTGGCTTACTGGCTTTGTTTGCGTGCCATGAGTTTACTCACAGGCCGACTATATTTGTTTGTAGCTTGCCGCTATCGCCATAACCACGTCTATGGGCTATGTGTTGGCAGAGCATCCCTCTGTGCAGCTCGGGGAGAAGGCCGAACACTTTAGCAGGGGCGCTAGTTGCCGGACATGGTAGGTTGAGGAGTTATGAGCAGTATGGTTTTTACACCTGGAGAGATGGGGTTCTTGATAGCCGTGATTTTCCTTAATTGGATACTGTGTTTTGTCCTGATTTCGGGATTGCACCCGACGCTTTTCACAACAAAAAAGCAAGATCAGGCGATTGAGCTAGCCGGCACTGAACTCAGCTTCGGATCCCTTCGCTTGAAAGCGGGGGAGAAAAAAACAAATGCGCCGGTGAGCGACAATTTCAAGATCCTGGCATTTGGTGGTCCCAAGCACCGCTTGGCTTGCAAGGGACTAGCTTTAGAGCATGTCATAAACGTTTCACTTACGAGATTCAGGTGCATCGCATGTTGGTCTTGCCTCAAGCCTACACATAAGGCCACTGCCCAACCATGGCCATTTCTCAACTTCGACCTTTTCACCTTGGTCCCCAGTTGGCTTCCCCTCAAAACCACCCAAAAAACGGATCAAAACCACTCAAAAGACGGAGTTCCGCTGAAACTCGTCCCAAAACGGATGAGGGAACCACGGCCCACGGCCCACACCCCGCCCCATGCGATGCGACGACTTCGATGCGACTTGGATCCGCGCCATGGAGGCGCTGACGATGCCTTTGGAGCCCCGCAGGCCGTCCACCAGCTGAACGCCGCGCGAAGGCGCGGATGTCGCGCGAAGGCCAAGACCGAGTCGTTCTTTTGGAGGGGGCGAGGGTCGGTTTAACTTCTATTAAAAGACAAATAATGTTGTGTGTTGTGTTGTTGTTGTTTGGGGAAAAAAGTCAAAACAAGAAAAAACAAAAATAGCAGGTCGGTTTGTTCAACAAAAAACAAACATGGGGTGTAAAAAGAAAGACACCATCGAACATGTCCCAGGAACCCATGGAGGTCGACCCCATCTAGTCTTTTTTACACGAATGGGCAAAAGACAAAGCTGTGGTGATAAGGGGGTTGAAGGTCATGTCTGAAGGCTTCATAAAACCTTAGGTGTCTTGAGGATACTGGCAGAAAGCTCAAGGAGGGGTATTTGAATAAAAATAATAAAAACTCGGGTGCTTGTAAGGAAAAAGCCATAGATAGTGTTGATCAAGTGGTGATTCAAGGTTCATTTCAAAGGAACCAGAAGGAGGTTGCTCAAACGATCGTGGTTTTCACACAGGCCAATGGATTTTGATTGGGAACACGTTTAAAGGGTGGGGATTCCTGTTGGTTTTGGCCCCAGCTGCCATGGGCCCAAAGGGAAGCCCAAAGGAGAGTTGTTGAAGCCATGGCTCAGACAGCTTGAAACAAGGGGCTGGCACCATGCTGCAGAGCCCTCAGATCTGTGGCGAAAATCACGCAACAGGGAGGAGGAGCAAGCCATTTTGGAAGGATCCTAAGAGCAAGAGGCTGCCTTCGTTCGATGGCCTCGCTGAAAATGAGCATGAAATCGCATAATAATATGACCTTTGACTCCACCTGCGAAAAAGTAGATCGTTTCTGGTCGGAGGGACTGCGCTCCAAACTTGATCTTCCTGGATTCCTGTGGCCTCTTCTTCCGAAGCCGTACGTCAATTACGCAACATAAACCCTGGTAGAATGACACTTTCTAGATGGTTGGAGCTATTTTCAAAAAAGTTTGAGAAGATTCCCAATGAAATGTCACAGCCAGACTTCCAGCCTATCAGCAACACTCAGGATAGGCGATGTTCGAAACTACCAAAAGGCTGAAAGTAGGGCACCAAGGAGAAACCGTCCCAATACTTTCGCTGGCTTCTCCAAACTTATGGGCATACATCCATTGCTCATCCCTGAACGCAAGTCAGGTGGTCAAATTTCCATTTCCCTTCGCTGAAAATCAAGTGTAGAAAGCCTCCAAACTGTGCTGCTCTCCCCTCAGCACAAGGTCGATCACCTTTGTAGTCCTAATGGAAAAGCGGTTCATTGGTTTCCTGAGGCTCAACCTTTTTCTACCAAAGACCCGCCACGTAGAGGGGTTCCCCGTCTCGTTCGGCGCTTCCGGAGTCCTTGAAGACCTCCGTGATGGCGCGGCCCGCGATGCCCTCCTCGAAGCCCGCGGGCTCCAGAGGTCAGTCCCCCCCTTTTTGGCCAAAATCGGTCAACCCCTTCCCAAATGGGGGAGAGTTATGCGCTTAGATATGCGTTCTGGTGTAGCCGCTTTGGAGTTCCTTTAAGGAAAGTTTGCCAACCCGGAGAAGCACCCGACTTGCGGGCACCTTTGGCTGCTGGCACTGGTTCCGCTCAAGCTCTGCATGAGATTTTGACATCCCCGTCCTGCTCTGGAGTGCCGTAAAGTGTGTAAGTCTTTCCCGCACCGGTCTGACCGTACCTTTGCGGCAGCCCAGAGTTCTGTTGCGCTCAAATCTCTGGGCAAAAGACGCCTACGTCCGTAGTGTGGTTGCGCCAGCACAGTATCAAGCCGAGCTTCACTCGCATAACTCCTTGCCATGACCGTATTTACTTCCCTCATTATGGAGTTGAAAACTGTTACGGGCCAGCGGTGCGGTGACATCTAGCTCCTCAAGTTCCGTCGAAGACTGGCCTGAAGCCTGCGGCCACTGATTCGCGGCTGTTGGCCTTGCACCATTGTCCAATGGTCACAGCTTCCTGAGCTACTCCTGGCTCACTCACTCCTGAACAAAGAAACAATTCTTTTGAACTCCGTTGGGCCAAGTCCTTTTAGCTACTGCATCTGCCAAGACCCGCCTGAAACAGGCCGCAGGCCTTCGTCAATTCGTGTCTGAGGCTGTGGCGCAAAAATGGTGACGTTGTGGCCATCCACCGCCGACTGGACGAGGTCCTTGCACTCCTTCGCATAGCGGGAGGGTGTATTCAATCGGACGCTTGGCTTGCACCTCACCTTTCTCCATCTTGTTTTCGAGTGATTCAAATCTCAGGCTTTGCCGCCCTTTTCCAACATCTCAAGGATAGCTGCAAACAAAGACATACCAGCGTGTGGTGCGCAAAGAACACTCCAACTCCACAAGGGGAGTCACCATGAATCCCTTTGGACTCCTGTAGAGGCATACTGTACCTTTCCCCCCATTCCCCTCGGCTCGACTTGTCGAAGGGGGTCGGTCTTGTCGAAGCCACGGGGGTTACCGCAAGGCCTCACAAGGATTGGCCAAGGAGCAAATCCACCCCGAGCCAGCCGTTGCTTCCCCCATTTCTCTCGGGACTTCCCGTCCCTTGCCTCAAAGACCTCCTCCTGGCTGCCGGGCCCGAAGACCCCGTCGAAGGTGAAGACCCCGTTCCGGGGTAACTGCGAAGGGTGACGGATCGAGGAATGTGGACCATGGACATGATGTGTGTGTATATATATATATACATATATATATATATATATTGTTGTATACGTACGAGTATGTATGTCTGTCTGTCTGTCCGTCTGTCTGTATGTATGGTCCCCCCTTAACGGTCCTACCTTTTTTCAGAAGTCGCTGGTATTTGCGGTGCGTTCTGCCGCTTTTGGGGCTTTGGGCAAAGCAGCAAACCAAGACGTAATTCCAAAGACAATCTGGAAGCTTCAGCCTCTCGGTCCACAGGGAATCAAATCAGCCCCCAAATGTCAATCCCCCCCCTCGAATGACCCCAAATGAAAAAGAACGAATTTCATTCGGATTCATTCAGGCTCCGGATTCAAGACTCCAGGGAATCTAGAATCTTCAATCCTGACTCCAGGCCCGAATGAAATGTCATTCGGTTTCATTCGCGGGGCTGGTTTCAATCAGCGAATGAAGCTTCATTCGGTTTCATTCGGTGTGGGGTCCTAGTCCTAGTTGAGAAATCACCATCCCCATTCGTTCTTTGTAGGGGCTTCGCCCCTTAAGAACGAATCGTATTACAGCTAATATATGGTACTGAAAAAGCTGGAAATTATGAAGGAACACATAATTAGAGGATTTTTTACTTGAAAATTTATTTCTAAAAAAAATGGAGTTAAATAGTCTAGGCCTAGTTTGGTCCTAGTCCTAGTTGAGAAATCCCCGCCCTGGTTCTAGTCCTAGCTTGGTCCTGGTCCTAGTTGAGAGATCCTTGGTTCCTAGATGGACAAATCATGAACTGGAGAAGGGGGGCGCACATGTATATATATATATATATATGTATATGGAACATCTGCGAAGTTCTGCTTCAGCGTCAGTGTGCAAATGAATATGCTTCCAGACAAGTTCCGGGAAATGAGATTGCCTCGACATCAAGGGGATTCCAACAAGCGAGGACTCCTTCCACTCCAGGCTACCGAGCCAGGTTCACGTCCTTTCAGAACCATCCCAAAAGCGAACCATCCCAAGAGAGCGACACGTTCCCCCAGTAAAAAAGATTGAATCTGAGAAGTTGCGTGACCCGTTTGGTTTGTGGGAAGCTTGGGTAATACCCCGCATGCCCTGGCCAAACCAACGGAGATTGCCAATCAGGTCATCAGTTCAGCGGAATCCTCCCAGGCATGGAGTACGATCCAAACAAATGGGTTCCCCAAAGAGTCAAATGGCTGTGGGTCAAAACCAATGGGATCCCATTTTGGGGTAGGTGCACCACCCATTTTTAGTCTATTTGAGTGGGGGTACGGGATTTTGACCCATGTCCAAATGAGTTTCAGAGACAACACCGTGCGATTCGCATCTGTATCAAAAGGAGAAAAAACGCAAAAACCTTCTCCAACGCCTCAAGAATAGCCTGGGGGGGAGGGTTGCCCACAAACTCCACAACCACAAGGCACAAGGCGCGACCCGTCCCACTCCACGGCGAGCCCCAAACGTCTTCTCGGGTGCACACCTCTATGCGCATGCCGTCTGCCTCGGCGACCCGATCTCAACACCCACCAAATGGCAATAGGTCAAACTGTTTGCTTTGTGCTTGGAATTCCAAAACGAGGTCGGGAAAAGGTCCAACAATACCAAACCCTTTGCATAGATCCATTGAGTTTGAGCAGCCCCCTGCGGGCATCCTTCGGGGCAAGTTATGATTCACCAACCGGAAGTTGCCGGATCTCGGGCTAACAAAATGCGGTTTTCATTTGAGGCAACCCAAAATTTGGCAGGAGTCCAGGAAGTCAACCAAAAAGGTGAAATCGTTACTGCAAATCTGAGTCATGCGCCATGCGTACCACCACCTCGTCCCTCATGGCACGCTCCTGCGGAGATGGAGGAAAGGCTTCTGCTATTGCAGCGCAGCATTGATTTGATCCAAAGCAAAACCGAAGACTATCAGTACTCGGTAAAATAGTAAACTAAATACTAAGCTGCCTGCCAAACGACAAAATACTTCTTCCCAAAAGATGTCAACCGTTTGATGGCTCATGGCTTTGTTGCTGCATGCTGAATCGTGGGAAGCAACCCTATGAAACAGCTCCACCGGCAAGCCTGTTGAGGGCGAAACAAGGCAAAATGTCCCCCCCCCCCCCTCCTTGCCCGGCTCCAACTCAACTAGTTCCACCACCCTTGGTTTCTCATTAGGTTGGTGGGCCGCCTGCTCGTGCATGGCGGGGTTGGTGAGTCGAGGAATGTAAACATAGGGCTGAAGACTGGTCACTGTGCTCCGATCTTACGCCTTTGCGGCGAAAAGATGAGCACAGTCAAGGGTTGGCAGCTTCTGCTGAAAGAAAATGGCTGGTAGCCTTGCTTCTGTGGTCATCAGCTGAATTTCTCTCTATCGAGTCCTTGTCACTCAGCGGGCGAACTCGGCAAAAGACGCGCAGATGGCCCTTGATGTCCTGCCAGTCAGTCGCATGTCTCTGCTGAAAAAAAACGGCAAATGTGAATCAGAATGTGGCAGCCTTTCAAGCCAGCGCCTGCCTGACTCATTCCATAAGGCTTCAACGCACAAAAGTAGGTGCGCGTCAGAGGGGCACTGTTCTCCAGTGGCTAGATCAAAGGTTATCATCAGTGGCACCTATACTGGCATCTTTGACCCTTGAGAATCATGAAGCTTGTTGCCAACCTAGGCTCCATGCGTATGCGTACGTCTAAGGGAGCCAAACAGTCAGGCAAAGTTTCTCCAATCAAGAAGTTTCAATGCCTCAATGGCGCCATTTTGGTTTGTTGGGTATCCCTTTGAAACAAACCCGGGTGCCCCTCCAAAAAGCACCCAAGCCAAGGCGGAAGCATCGTTGCCGTTCTATCCAAAGAAATGGTTGGCCCCCATTTTAGTATGTAAATATTCTCTGCGTTTGGTGATTAGGTGTATCAATTGCTGAGCTTCCCTTGGTTGAAGTGATACTTGACAAGGACATAAAGGGAATCTGTGGGGGCCAAGGGGCCTTTCCACGATTCTTGAATCGCAAATCGACTCGATCGACTCCATTCGGCAGACAAAACCACACCTGTACTTTTTGCCACGCAGACGCCAGTGGCTTGAGAGGTGTGTCTCCGGTGTTGGACAGGAACAGATATCCTCCAAAGCGTCCCCCCATCGCCAATTAGAAATCCCCCGAGCCATCCACATCCATTTCTCCGTTGCCCCGAGTTGAGTCTCCCATTCAACTTCCCAGCTCACGTGACTTCCGCGCGCCGTGGCAAACGCGATCGACAAAGTGCCTCAAGGGCGTTGTGCACGCGCCGCCGCACCTGCTCCGCCTGAGAAGGGCTAGCCGATGCGCGACGTATCTGGGCAACTTGTTCATTGCTCACCGACGGTTCACGTCTTGATTCGAAGTCCACTCGGCAACTGTTGTGTCCAACCAGCACATCAGGGATGCCCAGAACCCAACCAACACAAACAATTCAGACACCAGAGATCGGGGGTTCCTGTGACAGCAACCTTGCTTGGCCCAAACACATCTGGGGTACAAAGAACATATGTTCAATGTGTGGCTTTGATATATTTTAGTCTGCCCTAGCTTAGAATCTAAGATGGGTATGGGTCAAAACTAAAGGGACCTGCTTTTGACCTCCTCCCACAGAATTTCGGCGCAGACCATCGCCTCCCGCAGCTGCACTGGGTCATCTGTCCGCAGGTTCGCCAGCTGCTCCTCGAGTGGGGAGTCTCTTTAGCCCTGGGTTCCACATGTGACATGGGGGCTCTTTTCGATCTTGAAAATAAACGAATTTCAACTCATGAGAAAGCTAGAAGGGTTCGCCAGCCCCAGAGAGGAACTGGGCCCTGCCAAAAGTGTTCGTCTTAGCGGCTTAGCAGGGCCTTCTCGTGGCTTCCATGTTTGTGGGAAGGAGGGCGTAGACCCGGAGACTCGGAAAACTCACTCGTTCCCGACCTGCAATATGTTGGGGAAATTATCCAGGCTTTCCATTTTTCTCAAAGACCACTACCAGTCGCCCACTCCCCCAAGAACCAAAATGGAATCTGCAACTCGGGGACGTTCTTCCAGGGACTCCCGTCCTCCTGCAACCTTTCGAGCTTTCATCGCCATCTCCCTTATTCCACTCCATTTTGCAACTCTTTGGGAGTGAGCCCTTGGCCCTTGGGAGCAGGGTACCAAAACTCGGGCGCGCACTGATCTTTCCTGGACCGCTAGAAACGCGAGACAATCGAGTGGGATGATCTTGCAACCATCTGGGTATTTCAATCGTTGGGATGTTGCAACCATCTTCCTGGCATAGCATGGTGTTGCCTTCTTTGAGCTTGGTGCCGAACCGCCCTGCTTGTCCGAGAGCCGCCTTGATCTGCTTCAAGGCGTCCGCGTCCCCCAGGCGCCGCGCGCGCTCGAAGCTGCCGGACGCCTGATCCATACTTGTGAGACGTGAATGTTGTCCCACAGTAGAGTGTGCCCCCCTGGGCGTGGTTTCGGGTGTATAGATTTGCCCTGAGCAGATTCGAGATTCGGCAGGTGTCCCTTTGCAAATAGAAAGATTTCACCCATGTGCAACTAAACTCACCAACACGAGATCCATGGGTCTGGAGCCTAGTATCACACGGTCTAGATTTGCCCTGAGCAGATTTGAGATTCGGCAGGTGTCCCTTTGCAAATAGAAAGATTTCACCCATGTGCAACTAAACTCACCAACACGAGATCCATGGGTCTGGAGCCTAGTATCACACGGTCTAGATTTGCCCTGAGCAGATTTGAGATTCAGCAGGTGTCCCTTTGCAAATAGAAAGATTTCACCCATGTGCAACTAAACTCACCAACACGAGATCCATGGGTCTGGAGCCTAGTATCACACGGTCTAGATTTGCCCTGAGCAGATTTGAGATTCAGCAGGTGTCCCTTTGCAAATAGAAAGATTTCACCCATGTGCAACTAAACTCACCAACACGAGATCCATGGGTCTGGAGCCTAGTATCACACGGTCTAGATTTGCCCTGAGCAGATTCGAGATTCAGCAGGTGTCCCTTTGCAAATAGAAAGATTTCACCCATGTGCAACTAAACTCACCAACACGAGATCCATGGGTCTGGAGCCTAGTATCACACGGTCTAGATTTGCCCTGAGCAGATTTGAGATTCAGCAGGTGTCCCTTTGCAAATAGAAAGATTTCACCCATGTGCAACTAAACTCACCAACACGAGATCCATGGGTCTGGAGCCTAGTATCACACGGTCTAGATTTGCCCTGAGCAGATTTGAGATTCAGCAGGTGTCCCTTTGCAAATAGAAAGATTTCACCCATGTGCAACTAAACTCACCAACACGAGATCCATGGGTCTGGAGCCTAGTATCACACGGTCTAGATTTGCCCTGAGCAGATTTGAGATTCAGCAGGTGTCCCTTGCAAATAGAAAGATTTCACCCATGTGCAACTAAACTCACCAACACGAGATCCATGGTCTGAGCCTAGTATCACACGGTCTAGATTTGCCCTGAGCAGATTTGAGATTCAGCAGGTGTCCCTTTGCAAATAGAAAGATTTCACCCATGTGCAACTAAACTCACCAACACGAGATCCATGGGTCTGGAGCCTAGTATCACACGGTCTAGATTTGCCCTGAGCAGATTCGAGATTCAGCAGGTGTCCCTTTGCAAATAGAAAGATTTCACCCATGTGCAACTAAACTCACCAACACGAGATCCATGGGTCTGGAGCCTAGTATCACACGGTCTAGATTTGCCCTGAGCAGATTTGAGATTCGAGCAGGTGTCCCTTTGCAAATAGAAAGATTTCACCCATGTGCAACTAAACTCACCAACACGAGATCCATGGGTCTGGAGCCTAGTATCACACGGTCTAGATTTGCCCTGAGCAGATTCGAGATTCAGCAGGTGTCCCTTTGCAAATAGAAAGATTTCACCCATGTGCAACTAAACTCACCAACACGAGATCCATGGGTCTGGAGCCTAGTATCACACGGTCTAGATTTGCCCCAGCAGATTCGAGATTCAGCAGGTGTCCCTTTGCAAATAGAAAGATTTCACCCATGTGCAACTAAACTCACCAACACGAGATCCATGGGTCTGGAGCCTAGTATCACACGGTCTAGATTTGCCCCGAGCAGATTCGAGATTCAGCAGGTGTCCCTTTGCAAATAGAAAGATTTCACCCATGTGCAACTAAACTCACCAACACGAGATCCATGGGTCTGGAGCCTAGTATCACACGGTCTAGATTTGCCCTGAGCAGATTCGAGATTCAGCAGGTGTCTCTTTGCAAATAGAAAGATTTCACCCATGTGCAACTAAACTCACCAACACGAGATCCATGGGTCTGAAGCCTAGTATCACACGGTCTAGATTTGCCCTGAGCAGATTCGAGATTCAGCAGGTGTCCCTTTGCAAATAGAAAGATTTCACCCATGTGCAACTAAACTCACCAACACGAGATCCATGGGTCTGGAGCCTAGTATCACACGGTCTAGATTTGCCCTGAGCAGATTCGAGATTCAGCAGGTGTCCCTTTGCAAATAGAAAGATTTCACCCATGTGCAACTAAACTCACCAACACGAGATCCATGGGTCTGGAGCCTAGTATCACACGGTCTAGATTTGCCCTGAGCAGATTCGAGATTCAGCAGGTGTCCCTTTGCAAATAGAAAGATTTCACCCATGTGCAACTAAACTCACCAACACGAGATCCATCTAGTATCACACGGTCTAGATTTGCCCTGAGCAGATTCGAGATTCAGCAGGTGTCCCTTTGCAAATAGAAAGATTTCACCCATGTGCAGCTAAACTCACCAACACGAGATCCATGGGTCTGGAGCCTAGTATCACACGGTCTAGATTTGCCCTGACAGATTCGAGATTCAGCAGGTGTCCCTTTGCAAATAGAAAGATTTCACCCATGTGCAACTAAACTCACCAACACGAGATCCATGGGTCTGGAGCCTAGTATCACACGGTCTAGATTTGCCCTCGACAGATTCGAGATTCAGCAGGTGTCCCTTTGCAAATAGAAAGATTTCACCCATGTGCAACTAAACTCACCAACACGAGATCCATGGGTCTGGAGCCTAGTATCACACGGTCTAGATTTGCCCTCGACAGATTCGAGATTCAGCAGGTGTCCCTTTGCAAATAGAAAGATTTCACCCATGTGCAACTAAACTCACCAACACGAGATCCATGGGTCTCAAGCCTAGTATCATACCGTCTAGATTTGCCCTCGACAGATTCGAGATTCAGCAGGTGTCCCTTTGCAAATAGAAAGATTTCACCCATGTGCAACTAAACTCACCAACACGAGATCCATGGGTCTGGAGCCTAGTATCATACCGTCTAGATTTGCCCTCGACAGATTCGAGATTCAGCAGGTGTCCCTTTGCAAATAGAAAGATTTCACCCATGTGCAACTAAACTCACCAACACGAGATCCATGGGTCTGGAGCCTAGTATCACACGGTCTAGATTTGCCCTCGACAGATTCGAGATTCAGCAGGTGTCCCTTTGCAAATAGAAAGATTTCACCCATGTGCAACTAAACTCACCAACACGAGATCCATGGGTCTGGAGCCTAGTATCACACGGTCTAGATTTGCCCTCGACAGATTCGATTTGATTCAGCAGCAGGTGTCCCTTTGCAAATAGAAAGATTTCACCCATGTGCAACTAAACTCACCAACACGAGATCCATGGGTCTGGAGCCTAGTATCACACGGTCTAGATTTGCCCTGAGCACATTTGAGATTCGGCAGGTGTCCCTTTGCAAATAGAAAGATTTCACCCATGTGCAACTAAACTCACCAACACGAGATCCATGGGTCTGGAGCCTAGTATCATACCGTCTAGATTTGCCCTCAACAAATTCGAGATTCGGCAGGTGTTCCTTTGGAAATAGAAATGCCCATGTTCAACTAAACTCACCAACACGAGATCCATGGGTCTCAAGCCTAGTATCATACCGTCTAGATTTGCCCTCGACAGATTCGAGATTCGGCAGGTGTCCCTTTGCAAATAGAAAGGTTTCACCCATGTTCAACTAAACTCACCAACACGAGATCCATGGGCCTGGAGCCTAGTATCATACTGTCTAGATTTGCCCTGAGCAGATTCGAGATTCGGTAGGTGTCCCTTTGGAAATAAAAACATTTCACCCATGTTCAACTAAACTCACCAACGCGAGATCCATGGGTCTGGAGCCTAGTATCATACCGTCTAGATTTGCCCTGAGCACATTCGAGATTCGGCAGGTGTCCCTTTGCAAATAGAAAAAAAAAATCACCCATGTGCAACTAAACTCACCAACACGAGATCCATGGGTCTGGAGCCTAGTATCATACCGTCTAGATTTGCCCTCGACAGATTCGAGATTCGGCAGGTGTCCCTTTGGAAATAGAAAGATTTCACCCATGTTCAACTAAACTCACCAACACGAGATCCATGGGTCTGGAGCCTGGTATCATACCGTCTAGATTTGCCCTAAGCAGATTCGAGATTGAGTAGGTGTCCCTTTGCAAAGAGAAAGATTTCACCCATGTTCAACTAAACTCACCAACACGAGATCCATGGGTCTGGAGCCTGGTATCATACTAGCTAACATCAGTCGCAGGTGACTTTGAACAACAAAAAGAGAAGGAAAAAAACGCTAACTGAGGGTATCAACCGAATGGGGCACAGCGGGGTGTATGGGGGCACAGACATCAGCCGACAAGCCAGTGATGTTTCCTGGGAATTCGCAGCACTGGAGCTGCATGTGCTATGACCAAAGGAGACAAGCCCGTGGAACGACGATGCTGAGGCGCCAGGCCGCGTCCAGGCTCCAAAAAGGACTGGGCTCTATATATTTCCAGCCCAACATCACCCCACCCACGAAAAGACTCACCTGAAACATCGCGCTTTCAACAAGGTAATGTTTGAGATAAACTTTGAAGGGGAAATCTAGTTGGTTGCAATGGCAAGTCTCCCAGTGGCCTTGGCGATCATGGCTTGCAGCGCCTGTCGCTGAGACTCCTGGCCCAAGCCATGAGCCGACAACCTCTGGTTCTTGAAGACTTCAAGCTTTCCACTGCCCCCAAACCACCGCCAAGGGGCAGTGGCCGATAGAACTACTGGTACCCTGTTTCATAGTGAAAACGCGTCTTTGTATGGGCGGATGCAACCTGAACTGCTCAAACGCTGAAAGTAAGGAAGATCAAAGCGGTGCCTATTGCCTTGATTGAAAATGTCATTCCACCCAGCGGGTCCGCATGCACCATTGTCAGATTGTTCATGTTGGCCGTGTCATGGCTCCCTTGAAACGGACTCCTTGTCGGCAATCCCAGTCTAAAGACTCGCAGAATAATATACCAGTGCTCGCCTCCGTCAGATTGTCACTTCAATTGTCGCACTGCGCGAAAATTGATGGACTTGATCTGCAAAAAAAATAGCTATAGTTTGTTTAGCATAAGTGTACATTCGTACGGCAAACATCCAATTTGTGGGTCTACTTCAAAATGGGAGTCCCCAAGGAAACCAGCCATTCGCCTCTTGAAACAAGTAGCAAAACACTATCAGGGTGTGGTGGGAGCAACACTTTGCAGCTCGCAAACACAGTTTTGTTGTTGGCATATCGAGTCGACTGGAGGAGAGGCTCGGTGTTTGATCCCCAGCTGACTGGTGCGACCATGCAAGGGGAACCGCGCGGTATGATTGGTTGTGCGATAACGGAACCCGCCTATGAACCCCAGTAGTCAGTGATTCAGATCCTTATTCACTGGGCATGCCATTCCTTGAACATATCCTGATAAACCACCAAAACCGACAAAAAAAAAAAACGAAAACCAGCAAATACCAAACAATCCAAAAAAACACCAAACACATCGAAACCAGCACCAACAAAAAAAGAAAAACGAAAACAAACACATGGAAACCAATACCAACAAAAACACACCAAACCCAAAACAAACACATCGAAACCAACGCCAACAAAAACACATCAAAACCAAAACAAGTACATCGAAACCAACACCAGCAAAAACACATCAAAACCAATACAAACACATCGAAACCAACACCAGCAAAAACACATCAAACCCAAAACAAACACATCGAAACCAACACCAACAAAAACACATCAAAACCAAAACAACATCGAAACCAACACCAACAACACAGATCAAAACCAAAACAAGCACATCGAAACCAACACCAGCAAAGACACATCAAACCCAAAACAAACACATCGAAACCAACACCAACAAAAACACATCAAACCCAAAACAAAAACACATCAAACCCAACACCAACAAAAACACATCAAACCCAAAACAAACACATCGAAACCAACACCAACAAAAACAAATCAAAACCAAGACAATCACATCGAAACCAACACCAACAAAACACATGAAAACCAAAACAAACACATCGAAATTAACACTAACAAAAATACGTCAAACTCACATCGAAACCAACACCAACAAAAACACATTGAACCAAAACAAGCACATCGAAACAAACACCAACAAAAGCACATCAGTCCCAAAACAAACACATCAAAACCAACACCAACAAAAATACATCAAACCCAACACCAAAACAAAAACACCTCAAACCAAAATCCAAAACACAAACACATAAAACCCAAATTCAAAACAAAAACACATCAAACCCAAAACCAACAAAAACACCTCAAACCCAAAACCAAAACAAAAACACATCAAGCCCAACACCAAAACAAAAACACATCAACCCCAAAGCAAAAACAACAAAACATCAAACCCAAAACCAAAACAAAAACACATCAAACACAAAATAAAAACAAAAACAGATCAAACCCAAAACAAAAACAACCAACACCAAAACAAAAACACAACAAACCCAAAACCAAAACAATAACACATCAAACCCAAAACCAACACAAAACACATAAAACCCAAAACACAAACAAAAACACGTCAATGCCACAACAAAAACAATAAACATCAAACCCAAAACCAAAACCAAAACACATTAACCCAAAACCAAAACAAAAACACATCAAACCCAAGACAAAAACAAAAACACATCAAACCCAATGCCAAAACAAACACATCGAAACCACAACCAACAAAAACATATCAAACCCAAAACAAAAACACATTAATTTTGAAATACAAACAAAAAACATCAAAACCAAAACCAAAACAAAAACACATCAAACCCAAAACCAACAAAACACACATCAAACCCAAAACCAGAACAAAAACACATCAAACCCAAAACCAACAAAAACACATCAAACCCAAAACCAAAACAAAAACAAATCAAACCCAAAACCAAACCAAAACACATCAACCCCCCCCCCCCCCAAAAAAAAAAAAGAACATCCAACCCAAAACAAAAACAAAAACACATCAAACCCAAAATCAAAACAAAAACACAAAACAAAAACACATCAACCCAAAACAATGACAATAAACATCAAAACCAAAACCAACACAAACACATCGAAACCAGAACATCAAACCCAAAACCAACAAAAACCAAACCAATCAAACAAAAAACAAACCCAAACAAGCCGAACAAACAAAAAAAACAACCCCACGGCCGTATCTCCGACATCGGCTTCGAGGCTAACCCCCGCGCCTTGAGCCTCAGCAAGGCCTCCGCCTTGGCCAGCAGCACGTCCCGCGCCAGGCCGGCGCCCTTGGCGCGCTCCAAGGCGCCCCGCAGCCTCCCCGGAGCTGAGCGGAGCTGAGGGGAGCTCAGGGGAGACAGCTGAAAAAGGCGCTTTTGGAGAAATCGCAAATTGATCTGAAGAAGTTTCGGAGAAATCGCAAGTTGTCAGTTTCAAAGAGAAAGGGAGGGAAAGCATGAGGGTTATTTCCATTTTTTATGCTTAATATATTGCCTTGTTTCCCCAGTGCATTGCCCCTTGCAAAGATGTGGCAGCAGCCTCTTCTTTTTCTCGGCTTTTGAGGCAGAGGATATCAAGTAAGGGATCACGAAGGTTTTGTCTTTATGAATCCCCTTCTGCGAATTCGTTTGGAGCCCAACAGGCTTCACAAAAGAGATGTTCCTAAAAATGGGTGCGCCTTTTTTGAGCGTACCCCGTTTTTTGATGGGTTTCAAAGCAAACCAAAAGGACAGCCACCGATTTTGGGGGTCCCCTAAAACAGATGCACCAAAATAATCGCTTTTTGCAATCCATGTGAATCAGGAGAGGGACCTCTCGACATCCGAGGATCGCGTGCAAATCGCCCGCGAAAGACGCGACCAGCCTGTCAATGGCTGACTCCACTGGAAGCGCCGGAGGCGGCACCTGCGGTATCCAAAATTCACAAAAGGACGCCGTGTTGGTTGCTTTTCAAAGGGAAACGAGGAGACATGCAAACATGTTGAGGGACCTCCCATTTTTGGGAACACCCCATTGTTCTTGGCCCAGCAGCATTGGCACGTCTGAGCAGTTTCTATGCTAGCCGAAGCAACATGCCAATCCAGGTAAAACAGCCGAATTCGGCTCAAGCTCGTCCTTGTATGCATGATGTTCTGAGTGTGTGTGTGTGTGACCTTACCCATGAAGTTTCTTTGCATAGGGGCTTCCACTTGTTTGGGGCTGGCAAAGTATTCTACATCACCCAGAAAGGTCCCACGCAAAAAGCAACTGCAAACCAAGGTGCATACCTCACCACACCTGTGTTTCTTAAAATGGGGAAATCCTCCCCTCGCAAAATCAAAACAAACAGAAGTTGTTTTCGTTTGGTGTCCCTTCAAAGGAACCCCAAAAAGGTACCCTCAAAGTCTAAAGACTCCCCCCATCCAACCCAACCCCCCCCCCCGGCCGGAAGTGACCCGCTTACGCGCCTCCGGGGTGTCGGCCCCGTGCAGGGAGCAGGCCCGGGAATGGCTCCGCGAGGGGCCCCGGGACGTGTTCCGCGACTGCGCCGGAGAGGTCAGGCCTCCGCGCAGCGACTCACGCGGGCTGACCCCGTCGGAAGTCGGAAGCAAGGGGTGTGGACAGAAGAGAAAAAGCCAGGATGTGTGTTACATGTGTTTTTTGGGTGGGTGCTCTACGGATTGGGTTTCCTGATATATGTGCTTTTTCATGGGTGCTCCACACATGGAGTTTCGGACTCATTCCCGCCCATTGTCGTGCTGGTGACGGTAATGCTAGTGCAGCCCTGGATTCTACCTGGAAGCCCCACGGAGGGTCTCTGTTTCGGTGTGTCGTTTTCTGGAGCACCTCCAAAACAGTTGGTTTGCACTTGGCTTCCCACAAGAGTGACCCCTGAATTCATACCAACTCGCAAAAGACACACACACAGTGTTTCTGGTTGGTTTTCCCTTGATTGTGAAAAAGTTGGTTTTCCTTTTTGGCTTCTTGTTGGCTGCTTTGGACATGTCTGGCTTACAAGGCATCTGAGCTCCCCCGCGGGAGCGCGTCTGCCGGTGAATGCTGCTCGGGCTATTGCAGCGCGACTGGCCTGTGAGTCGGAAGGCTACCAGGCCTTCCGAAGGCCACACCAAGATGCAACGAGAAGGAAGAAACGAGAAGTTTGAAGGCCACTTCACCCGAACGATAAAACACTTGACGGGAAGAAGCTGAAGGCCTTCAAACACTTTTTTCCAGTCCCCTTGCAAGCGAGCTGCGCCTTTTCTTCCCGCCGGCCCCCGCACTGTGGAGGATCTTTGCCAGCCACACAATGCTAAGCTGAGGAGCAAAGGCCTTCGACTCAGCATGACCTCTCAGGTGTCAAAGCGTTATCCTCGGATCAGGACGCAAACTGCCAGCAGTTCATGCACGACACCGGCAGAATCAACATCGCATCGCAATGCATGTCATACAAAGCTGGCAAGTCCAACAGCTTGATCGGTGGAAACAATGCAAAGTCTCGGCAAAGAAGTGCCCCATGCTGTCTTGGATGTGCTATACATACATATGTTAGCTATCTACATACGGTCGCGGCTTTTTGGCGCGCAAACGGCTCGAATCTGGAATTTAAACCGCTGACCAACCTGAACAAAAAACGGACCAAGGAAAGAACTTGAAATTGGCCACGGAGGCTAGGGAATCAATGGTCAAAGTAGTATCAACCAAACATGCAGACTGCACACACTTCTGTGTGGTTTGGTAAAGTTGTTGGACCCAAGGCAACCAACACGCGCTGTGCTTGCGCGACGCATGCTTGAACCATTCCAACAGTGGAATGGAAACGATGCCCACGACTGGAAGGAATAGAAACCTCAAATAAAGTAACAGTCGCTTGCTGCCAAGATGAAGGCTTCAAAACGTGTTCTGTGTTCGTCCTGGTGGCTTCCCGGTTCACCAACCTCTGTGTGCGTCTGGGCTGGCAAAACAGGAATAAGGCACATGTACTAGTCATGGCCATTTCCAACCGGCAGAAACACAACTGGGGAAAAAAACAAACACGGACACCCGCTTTAACTGCAAAACGAACAGTTTGAAAAGTTGGAGTTGCCATTTCAGCAAATGGAAGCTAAAAGGTCCAAAACTCTGTCCCACTTCCTGACGTTTGCAACCCAGTCCTCGCTGAAACCAGGGCAATGAGCCAAACAGGCAGCCACCTCCCGACGCAAACAACGCGGTGTTTTCTCGGGGCCCCAAGCACGGGCAATGGGCGGGGCAAATGGGGCCACGGGGGCAACGCGCGCGCAGGTCGAGCATACACCCTGAGGGCGTATTTTGCGATACGATCTAAAATGAGGCTGCCTCTTGGCTGACTCTCCAGTTTGTACTGAATCCCCAGCACGTGTTTGACCCTCCCGCGTTGAAACAGGAGCAGGAGTTCTTCTCTCAAAGTACACAGTTGGCACATCCATGTCATCGAGCACGGCGCAAAAACATAGGACGACCCCCCGCCCTCCCCAATTGAATTGGCAAAACCGCTGTTTGCATAGGTGCCCTTTTAGGGCAAATAGATGACCCTGGCAGATGATGAAACCAGCAGCTAAACCAGGAATCGCCATCTATGTTCCTACCAAAACCAAAAAGGACACCTATGGCTGTTTGGATATCCCCACCCCAAGGGGGCAGAGCTCCGGCTGCCTCGTCCGCGCGGCGGCCACGAGGACTGGCCAGCCCTGAGAGAACACGATTGGAATGGGGGGGATCTGGCCATGGGTCAAAAGCCAAATCGGTTAGCCCCCAGTGAACATCCCAATCCAACCACTAAAATAGGTTCTAAAATGGGTGGTGAATTCACCGATGACCCCAAAATGGTACCATTGGTTTTGACCCACAGCCATCTGGGAGTCGAATGATTCCCGGAAGGGAACATGGAAAATTAGGGACTCCTAAAATCCTATTGATTCCTAAAAGGAAATCCGGCATACAACCCAACAACCATCTATGAACGAAACTTCATGGGGTTCAAGGTTGAAAAACTCCGGCAGGTGAGGTCGAGATTCCATTTGCCCAGATGCATGTGCCCGAACTGCTATTGGGACATCCCGACCGTTCTTGGAAATGGTGCAAACCGGGGAACGTGTACCTAGAACGTCACGTTCTTTGTGAATTCTTTGGTAAGCCGAGGACTTGCCTCAACCCACACCAGAGTGACTCTGCACAAGGCAGCTTGCTGAGGTCCCAGCGTCAGCAGTGCTTGTGGTGGAGTTGGCGCCGGATGTGCCAGAAACTGTGGTGACCTCACGAAAGGGCACCAAAGGGCAAGGGACGCCTGAGTATGGAAACCTTGTAAAGGGGTCGGCCCTAAACCACCTCATCAAACAGGCCTCATGTCGCACCGATTTGTGACAAGGGCGCCGCTCTTCCTTTTTCCTTTCTTGTCTGACAAGCCGCAGCTTCTGACGCACTTGTGGAGGTACTTGTGGACGCACTCGTGGATATGTCTGTGGACATAGAACTTGTGCTCGTAGTGGTGGCCTCACTTCCAATTTCATGGACCCCTGCGGGTCTATGGTGAGGTCCATCCCTGGATAAGCCGAACATCTAGGATGGGTTCTCAACAAGGCCTTCTCAGGGGGTAAATAAGGCGATCGAACCCCTCGTGGTTCGTGACATTCACATCCAGGGCTGTTTCACCTGCATCTGTCACCCATCTGAGCCCTGGACGCTTGTTGGACCCATTGTCGAGGGAGTCACCTGTCAACGGCTGTTCGCTGCGAAAGCAATAAGTACAACTGGGTTTGGCCTAGGACATGTTGCGCTACATATTGTCATGGGGCCCAGGAGAAATGCGTTCAACAAGTGCAAGAGTACCCATTCTGACCATGCTTCATGGAAATTGGCCTCTTGATTGCACGGCTCGACGGCATCAGGAATCAAGGTCAATCGGGTTTTGCGACAGCCAGGTACAGGTCCGACAGCGAAAGTAAAAGCAATCAATTGCCGAAACTCAACCTGATATCAGCTGTGATCATCTTCGGTGCCATTTGCAAGCGAAGTTGGCCTTTTCTGGACAGAATGATGGCTGAAATCGGAGCATGTGAGAGCCCAATGTGCGAGATTCACATCTGGGTGAATCAAGAACCAAGGAACCTCCATCGGTGAAATCGGTCGCAGACCAAGCCCTTTTGTGCTGTGATCTCATTTGCCCAGTTTGAAGTACTTGGTATTCAGACCTTGGTTTAGGGTCTGACTTGTCATGGAACCAATGTCCCGATAAGGGACCTCGCGGTACTGAAGCCCTTGTTGTGGGTCCCGGATTGAAACGTTGAATGTATGCATCAATGGCGATACATATTGGTGAGGAACCCTCCCAAAATGGTCTGCGGAAATAAGTCCCCACCTCCTAAATAACGCCCACCAAAGGGTCCCGAGTTAACATTCACACTCATATATGTGCCCATGGTATGGTGCTCTTTACGCTTCACTCTTGGATATCAGGACTTTCAGGGCTTGCACAATTTTGAGACCTACCCTCTAAGAGCGCGACGATGGTGAAGGCGCTGGGAAGGGTAATCTGGTCACCTCAAGGCACCGAGGGAGGCTCGGTGCTCTAGGAGCGCTTGCCAGTTTGCTGAAAATGGTTGTCTGTTCAAGGTTTGTCGGGCGAAACAAACACACAGCTTCTCAAAAAAGGAAACAAACATCTTCAACCACATGCTAGAGTTGCTAGAGGAAAAGAGCCGGGAAGGGAGAACAACACAGCAGCGGGATTTTCCCAAGCGAGCTTCATTTGAAGATCCGCCAAACAGCTCACCAATGCTTGCGGTTCACCTTCAGCCAAAATCGTGTTTCTTTTTGTTTGGGACTCATCCAGTTCCGTCCCTTCGTGCCATTTCATCCAAGCCGCGAAGCCCGGCTGAGGCCCAGTTTGTGGCATCTCGCGTCCAGAGCCGCAGCTCCTGTGGAGTGAGCCGATCTGCTGGACATTTTCATGCAGCACCCCTGAAAACCGAGTTAACACTTGAGGGTGTGGGGGTCCAAGTTGTGCAGAGGCAATGGATTCCTGGAAAGCTGTCAGTCGCAAACGGCAAACCCCTTGTTGTCGCGCTGTTTTGCCCCAAGAAGATCGGTCCCATTCCACTAATCAGTTGCACATGTAACATTTCTCGATCAGCTTTGTTCCTGCCACAGAGAAGGAGCGATTTTTGTCCCCAAAGCAGCCAGGACCTAAAGTTTTCAGGGAAAAAAAAAGGCAGCTGCTCTTCCATCCGGAAATCCAGATTTCCAAGGAGTGATATCCTCCGCACATGCAAAATTTGAGGTTCAACAAACCCAGGGATTCATGGATTGGGCTGCTTGCCCCACGGATGGTCTAGAATGGCACACCGCCCCATTAAGCAACCGGCCGAAAAGCGGCCGCAAGCATCCTCCACAGACCCGGATGTGTTGCCCAGATAGACAGCATTGTCCTTAGGCAAGAGCGCTCGGAACATAACATGACAAGTGCGCGTCTGGATTTTGTGGGACCCCAAAAATGGCTGGTGTCCTTTTGGCTCCCTTTAAAAACCATCCAAAGGGGGTACCAACTCCAAAAACGGAACCACAGCCAAGTGGATCTTGCCTCGATCGCGTGCCTAATCTCCATTGGCTGCATGGCTACGGTACCCCTTCTGGCGGCCGGAGCTCTCTACCCCGACAAAGCCGCTTTGACTACGGCACCTGAATTTCACAGGGAACTCCCTCAAGAACCTGCCCTTCCATGTGTTGCCTCCCTGAAAGGCCCAACCCTTTGGGAAACCGAGCTGCGTGTCGCTCGCTACATAGCCGCTACAACATCCCTTCCCCCAGTGAACTGGACCAGTGAAATGAAGCTCCGACCCCTCAACATGGGCTCCAGAACTTCAAAGTCCCAACGGTAACGCTTTGAGCAGCCCAGAACCCTTCACTGGTTCCGCCTGCGTGAGTACAAAGGCTTGAAGTTTGCCAACTTGTGGGCTTTGGGCTGGCATACAAATGGGTCGAAAAAATCAAATAAGGCTGCACCAATAAGGGCATCAAATAAGGCTGCGACGGTGGTCTTGGGCGCTGCTCACTTCTCTTTCCAATTCCAAGGAACGGAACCGAATAGCAAGCATATTTTGCGTTTCAATCAAACGCAAAAAGAACATACCCGGAGCCGTTAAGTTGACCGCGTGTCTACACATTACAAAAAGAGCATGTTTCTGTTGTCCAACATACCAAGAACTATAAGGTGAGAACGACCCCGTGCACTTCCATATTGGTGGGCGGGTACCAAGCTGCCCAGTGAGTTTGGTGATACTTGGGCTCCCCCATGCGATCGCGTTGATCATCCCTGGCTCCTTAGCTCTCCTGGGTGTCTAAATAGAGACCCCAAAACATGTGTGTGTGTGTGTGTTCCCCTTGAATTCCCTTTGAACCGCCCCTCCTTTTTTGGAGGCTACTTTTTCCAACAGACCCCCTTTGAACCCCATGGCCACGACCCCATGGCCCAGACCCGCAGACCCGCCGAGCCACCGTCTCGTCCAGCGCCAAGGCGTCGAGGCCCGGCGGCAGGGCGCTGGTGGCGGCGCTGGTGGCGTCGGACTGCCAGCCTGGCGACGAAAATTGCCCCATGTGGCCATGGGTCAAAACCGTTTTGGGATCCCATTTGGGTATGGGTCAAAATTGAACCAACACAAAACCGCAGGTTTTAGTCCTTGGTTCTATTTACCAGGGTTCCATGTTAGGTACCTAGTTTTGACCCACAGCCATTTTGGGATAGGTGCACCACCCAACCTATTTTAGTGGGGATCGGGATGTTCACTGGGGGTACGATTTGGATTTTGACCCATGGCCATGGTTCCCTCCACATGCACACTGTTTAAGAATCACCGCGGACCAATAGGCAGGGAGGCAATCCCATTTCCCTCAGTTGTCCTTCAGAGAACCGTTTAAGAATGAATAATGATCAACAAACACGGTGGACCAACCAATAGGGGAGGCAATATTTTTTCTCGAGTTAATTTGCCTGCGGGGCTGGGCCAACAATGGTTTAAACACTTGTGCAAAAATCTGTGTGAACCGCCCTTTAAAGGTGGCCAGGGTATGGTTCTTGAAATTCAAAAGGGTCGAGCCCAGTTAGAAACACATGGGGTTATCTCTCTCAGAATCTGGGGGAGTCTTCCCAAATGTTGACTGTTTCAAAACGGAATTTGACTGTGTCCAAATACCCACTTGGGAAACTAGCGAAAGAATGGGGAACAAAAATTAAAGAATCATCAAAAGTTCTGCCTCTTAGGATGAAAACTCTTACCGGAAAGTTCAAAATTGGAGATCCCGTGGTCAAGGGACCGCATGCCGTCCAAGTTCCCGGATGCGCTTGAAGCTGGCAGTTACTTTCAGAATAGTGGTAACCAGCACAATCAAATCACTGTACCTCGAGCGCACATCGGCCAGGGGCATGTTAATTCATGCCAAACATTGCCGCTGGCCTGTTCCCTCGAAGTTGATGGCGCACAGAAAAGTGGGCCTGTCCTGCGGCCGAGCTGACACGAGAAAATGGTCGAAGTGACCCCAAGTTGCAAACCGGTTTCCTACGGGCGAGTGGGGGAGCTTTCGTCATTTCCTTCGCCATTTCAAAGACAGAAGGTTCGCGGTCGAACAAAACATGCTGGACTTGGCAAAGCCCATAGAACGCCCAAAAATCGGAATGTGAATCAACATTGCGGAGATCCCCTCCGGACGGTTTCAGAAACAAAAACTCAAAAGGGAGCAGTCATTTCACTTGGGCGCATCTCCGTCTCTGTACCTTGGACGAAATGCTTGAAAATCAACGTCGATGAAGCCTGGCCCATCCACCAAATTCTAGATGAGCCGGAAAACTCGAGCATTGCTCAGCTTACACTTGATTGGCGTCCTGGACTGGTGGTATGGAGGTGGGGGGTGTTTCCCATTTGCCTTCAAAACCACCAATCCAAACCACTAATACAGTGTAGGGTAACCCGAATCGCCTAACATCCGGTTCCCCGGTGACAACCGGGTGACGCATGGACAAAAAAAAAACCTCCAAACCAGTTTGCGATCCCAGGCTCCGGGTCAGCACGCAGTGTGTCATGCTCTGCTCCGGAAGGCTGCTCAGGGAAAAACGTGGATTGATACAGCTTTTTATTTGGGCTCCAATGGACGGCCTGCCGACTTTGAACAATCTAATGCACGTAAGCGAAAGCAGTGCTCTTGCTGAATCCAAGCCAGACCGTCTCCACGAAGCTTGTAAAGACCACGAACGCAACAGTGAAATCATTTGACCGGCACTTGCGCGTCAAGGAATGCATCCTCAACATGTCATTTGGAGTGCGCGGGTGACTTCATGCGACTAGGTCTGTGTTCGTATGTTTCATCTGCGAATCTAATTCTCCTAATATAACAATCCGTTGCATTCAAGCTATCCTAAATTAAGACGTATCTAGGATAAGTAGGTGGGAACACGTTCAATCTTACCCAATGGCCAATGGCCAGTATCCTGATAGTTTGCTGGGATTGTGTTCGGATACTGTTAGTTTACAATCTGCCATTTGATTCTGGCCAACAATTATGGGTATTTAGGACAAAAGGCGGGAGACCCATCGAAGTCTATAGGGCTAGCTTTCAATTAGTTGCCGACGGCGGCAGTTCCTTCTAAACTACCTTTGACCAAGTCTACACCCTTGAAAAACATAACTCTACACCATACTCACCGTAGTCATCCGAGTTCCCCTCTTGGACAAGCACTTTGTCTGCAGGCTTGACTCCAAACCCACCCTCAACCAAGCATAAAGTAACCTCCTGAGCCCCAGATGGTGGGAACCAACACTGAACAAACCCGAAACCCACCTCAAACCACCTGCCCTGAACCCAACACGATCAACCAAAGATGCATGAAACTGTAACTAAACCAACCCTTGACCAGCCTTGACCCCAACCTCACCAGGGGGTGGGTTTTGGGGAACCATGGGGAGGTCCTCTGATCATACATGTCACTGCTGACTCTAAGAGGGCGTTGTTGTTGCACACAACCTCCCCTTTTCACTACACCCCCGCCCAACCTCCTTCGATAAATGCCGGACTTTGGTACTTGGATGTGACATTGGCAAACGAACTTCTCAAACACCATGCCATCTTGCCGTTTGACTATGTCCTCGTTCGTCGTGTGTTGAAACAAAAGGAACACCCTTAAAGAGGTGATCCACACTCCCGGCCCCTCTCTTTCTGTTGCGTCAAACTGGCGTCCTTGGTGCCTGTGTAGACCACAAGTTGGTCCCCGCTGGAGGACAATGCAAAGCTACCTGCCGTGGAGCGATTTCAACATAGAAGCGCAGAAGGTGCTTTTGGGGATGTCTTGGATGAGGACTTGGAATGGAAATCATCTTTGAGCAAAACCCAAAAGCCCCTTGCCTGACCTCAAACCGGTGGTGGGGATGACAAGCAAACAGTGTACGGCTCCACACGTCACAAGGACCTGCAGACCAAGAACGCTCCACACAGCCAAAGACGCAACCCGGCAACTCCAGTTGGCACCAGCGGAGAAAAGACTCCTGTTATTTCTGGTGAAGCAAGTCCTGACTCTCTTTGGGGTTTCTTCTTCAGCCAGTGGTTGGGAACGCTCGTTTTCCAAGAGGTCACAAAGAGAGCGAAAGGTCGTGTGCCAAAAGAAACAACCAAGCAAAAAAGGGGATCCCTGAAACCCCTTTGAGCCAAAACGGGGGGTCAACCTTTCGGCCCTGTCCGCACGAGAAGGCCGAGAAGGCCCCCCCCTCCCGCCCCCCCCCCCCCCGGGCCGCCTGACGCAGTAGTGAAGTTCTCCCGTCGCAGCAGGCCGCCCACAGGCAGCGGCCCGGAAGCGGTGAACTGCAGCACGCCTAGGGAACTTTGTGTGACGGCTTTTTGGACCACGCTCGGGGGCGTGTTTTTCTTTCAGGAAACCTCCCTAAACAATGATTTTCCTTTTGGTGTCCCAGCTTTTCAAACATTTTCCTTTTCTGGGACCCCCGGAAATGGTGGTTTTACTTTTGGCTTCCCAGTTTATAAGAAGAAAGACAAACCCACTAGTTGGTCAATCGGATCTGGGCAGTCGAAAGGGAAACCCAAAAGAACCCGAAGGAGAACAGGGCGTGGTTGGTTTGTTCATCCAAAAGGGATCCCAAGATTGGCTTGTTGGCTCCCCGAGTTGGGAAATCTCGCGTGTTGGTTTTTGGTTGGTGGTGTATAGTTTGGATTCTCTTTGGCCAAGTTGTTCTCAAAATGCTAGACAAAACTGGCCGGCGGTTCAAGAACTTTGCCGTTGTAAATGGGCTGGTCAAACTCATCGTCCCTACTAAAAGTGGTCAACTGTTGAGGAACAGCTTTTTGCCCAAGTGTTACAAAAGTTGGCTGACAGTTGAAGGAAACGTTGGTTGTGTTGCCGGCTTTGCTTTGCTCATGGGCAAATGTTGGCAATGTTGCTTCAGGCTCTGAAAAATATACACTTCAACTCTTTAGACAACCCTTGTAAAGTGGCTGATCGCCAAGGTCCTGAATTCTATAACAGGTGAAGATGGAACCAAAAAGCCAAAGTCTGGAGTTGTTGCCTCTGTCAAATGATTGGCTTCAGTTCCGGCCAGAGGTGCATTGTGTCAACAAGGGTTTGGACAAATGTCCATGAGCCTTGCCGAGCAACTCAGAATCAAGCTCGCCGGGTTGGTAAGTTGCAAACAGAAACCAGCATGACTGAGCTTTGTTGACGCCTGGTGCGGAGTCCTGCATTCGACTGGCACGAGGTGATCGGGGGATAGCTCGCTCGAGCCATGCTTGTCAACCCCCAAAAAGCCAGCTCACAGATCAGTTGAGCAAATGTCCAGGAATTCCCTTTGGGATGATTAAGGGAGAACATGCAAAAGAAACACATGCATTTCTATGGACCCATTTGGATATCTATTTTTTGAGGGTTCGCTTGAAGGGAAACCACGAAGAAAACCACCCACGGGGGGTCCCTATGGACCCATTTTCGGCAACATCTCGCGCGGCTCTCTTTCGCGGCCTTCAGAGTCCCGGAAGGAGCCATCAGCTTTCACGCCGTTGTCAGTGACATAGATTGTTTGGCCCCCGCTCACGGCAGCAAGCAACAGGATCGCAAAATCGTCTGGATCATCCTCGGGGAAGAGGCCATGGGAATGGGGAACGTTTGGGCTCGGTGATCCTTGAAAAACACACAACTGCGCAACTCTAAGCACATGCTGAAAGAACTCGCATCGAGCTTGTCAGTGAAGGCAAGGTCATGTGCACGGGAAATTCATATCAATTCCGTTGACGGATTCCCGGAGAGAAATATAGCAGCATCTTGTTCGGAGTGTTGTGCCAAAGACACTTAGATTTACCCTTGCATTGAACAAACCTCGCCCTTCGGACAATTTCATTCCATGTGTGGTTTGCCTTTGGACACCCTCAAAAGAATAGAGGGCCCCGCTCTATTAGTGTTCAAACATCTTTCACAGGGATTCCTTCAAAGTCTCCTTTAAACATGACACCTGAACTTCCCCTCATGTCCCCCAATTTTCCGTGAGAGCACTTCGAGGGTCTTGTGACTTCCTTTTCTGGGCCAGACTTAGACCCAGACAACGGACATCCAGGAACACCCCATTTTTCTATGCCCAAAACGCCACAGGGATCCTTACATACACCGGAACATTGCCTTGTAGATGGTGGTGTCCCTAAATTTTGGTGTTGAAAAAGCAACATGTTTCAAATGGTTGCAAAATGAATTTCTTTTAAGGAGCCCTGCAAAAAGGCGAGGCGTTGGTCGTTGAAGGAAATAATCCGCAGTCCGAATCCCCCGAGGCGCTGCTTGGAAGCCCACCACCGCGCAGTCCCCGGCGCTCAGCGCCGTGGGGGCCGCGCAGTCGCTGCAGGTGCCGTTCAGGTGCATGCCTTGGGGCGGTGAAAAGGCAAAGAAAAATGTGGGTCTGGAAAAAGCTCTCCTATTTTGCGTGGGTGTGCGCGTTTCTGTGTTTTTGGAGGTTACTCCCGTTTTTGTTGGCTGCTCGGCACTGCTCTGCTCCTTTTCTCTCTGCGTGGGCACGTGGCCTCTTTCGTTTGTGCCGCTACTGGTGGTTCTTCCTTCTTGCCCAGGATGCGCAACTGGGATGCCTTTAAAAAAAAGAAGAAAAACAACAAAAAAAACACCAGTGTAATGCATGATGGTCGCGGCCCCTCTTTTTACTTGGGTGTTGCCACCTCGGCGAGTTCTCCTGCTTGAAGGCCGCAGCTGCTAAGTCAAATGTGCCGTGGGGTCGTTTTGCCACAGGGAGGGGAATCCATATCTATTCCACAATGGGGGAGCTTAACGGAACAACCCAGCACACAAGACTGCGAACTGCACCTGAGACGCAGCGTGCCCGCAACAAAGCTCTTAGCCCCTGCAACGGCAGTCCGCAAACGCACAGAGTCTTCAAAGACCATCTCTGTGTCACGTCAGACCTCCCTCTGGGTCATGGTGGTCAAAAAGGAACCCGTACGTTGGTTGTCTAAAGTCGCAAGTAAAAGGTTGGTGACCATACTTGCCAACCCCAAGTATAAAAGGGCGTTGATGTCTCCGAAGCTTCACCATTCAACCGCCCGTCCTCCAGAATTTCTAACTACAAGCTGAGTAATCCACGCGTCTTGGTGAATTCAAAGAACTCTACCTGTACAAAGTACGACAGGGAGCCCCAGAAAGGAGCATGAATCACCAGTGTTCTCGGTTCCCAGTTTCAGTCCCCCATGTTTGCTCGGAGAGCAAACAATTTGCCAGGGCACAAAGCTCTACAGGGTAGTGGTCGGACAGCTCCTTGGTGACCTGCCCAGACCATTGTCCACGCCTCCAAAACTGTTCTGGATTTACAGTAAAACCAATTGAACATATTAAGAAAAGAAAAATAACAAAAAAAAAAAACAAGGAACAATATAAAAAGATAATTACAGTAATAAAAGATGAAGAAGATAGAAAAAGAACATGAAAGAAACAGAAAAGGAAATGATATCTTCGTTCCTCAGCCTTTCCATAAAGACACTGTTCTATTTCTCTTTACTTCTTCTTTAGAATTATTTTATTTTGGAAATCATTACATTTAGAAGTTACATCAGATTCATTTTGTTTTCTTATTAATATTTATATCACATGTTCATGTTGTTCTTTCTTTAGGAGCTATAATTGCTATCTTCTCTGGAATAATCTTCAATGGAGAAAAGATTGTTGGTACTAAGAATTTATTACTTTCATCCTCATGTACACTCTCTCTTTATCATTGTAATTTAATATTTATTGCTATTATTCTTACCTTGTCCCCAATGCATTTCTCAGGATTTAATGTTACGCCAAGAAGAATCGCATCCTTTCCAGATTCTTTTCATTCCTGGAATTACCTGTCATCTATTGGATCAGGAATAACTTTCCTATACTGTTCTTTTCTTTATGTTTATTTGCATATCTTATATTGTTTGTGTCTTTCCTTTTTCATCTTTTATTATTCTGTTTCTTTCATTTGCATTGTTATGTTCTTTTCCTATCACCTTTCTATTAAGCCCGTTTTCCGGGCTTCATCTCCCTTGAGCGCCTCGAACCACTGCACGGGTGAGCTGCTGCAAATTGAGCTGGAGATGTACCCGTCAGCGCATCCTTGCTCAAAGACTCCTGGCTTGCGAGTGCTAGCAAGTCTGAAGCTACGGATGGAAACATCAGCCAATGCCTATCAATGCCTGTACAACGGAAACATCTTTGAGACTCCTCTTCCCAAATGCAGCCAGGGCTTAAAGTCGATTGACGGGGTTACCTTTGGCTCTCGCCGTCCGGCTGCACAGTTTGAACCTCCCAGATCACTGGGGTGGGATAAGTCGCACTTACGGTGAGCCGCCAGCATGTCTACCTTACCTCATCCCAATACGCCCAAGGAGTGCCCAGAAACTCTCGGCACCGAAACCTCGATGTTGGCTTCACAAAATCGCGTCCGCACGGAAGAAACTGGACGATCAGTGCTTCCAACTAGCACTATGAGAGGTAGCCAAGGGAAACAGGCAAAAAAAGTGCAAGTTGGAAACCCCTTGAACTACTAGAGTGGCATCCCCCAAAAGTTTTCAACTGCTCTCCCTTGGTTACCTCTGCGATCCGTTGGGCCCGGATTGCTCCTGACAGATTCACGTGCTCCTCGATGTGAAACACCGCCGCTGGGGAGGCCTGCGGTCACAGGAGCGCAACCAAGAGCAGAAACCAAAGGAGGCGGATGCAAACCTTGCTTGGCCCTCAGAATTTGGTGTGTCTGCATGTTTTAATGTTGTAAGCATGAAGCATGAGAAACACACAGGCAAGTAGCCCAATCTCTCCAAAACACCCGAGACCAGAATTGACACGATCACCCAACAAATCCAATCAGGAGGTTGCAACTGGGCTTTCAATATTTGTTCACCCGGCGGGTCTCGAGCCAAATCCCCAACTTACCCAAAAAGTGCGTAGGATCCCAATGAACCACAGGGACCCCCTTTTCCGATGAATCCGCCAGGCCATGGAGCGAGTTCCGAGTTGCTGGCGCTCGCAAAGTGTGGAAGGGCTTCAGATGGGATCCGTGCAAGTCGCCTTTCTTTGACTTCAACTTGGCTCGTTAAATTCCAAGTGCCCGTGGCTCAAAACCAAGGGAACCTCCTCTCAAAAAAGACGGCAACCTGCGCCAAACCGTTTACTTTGAACTCACCTCGTGTCACGCGGCTGTGTCTCAAAATCGCAGAACCCCCAAAATGGGTGACCTTTCCATTGGTGTCCCTTGGAGCCAATGCCAGAACGGCGCAAGAACCCCGTTTTCCGAAGTGGCCAGCCTGCAGGTGAGAACTTGCGATGATCCGGTCGTAGGTGTTGCTGCTGCTGGACACCGTGGTGTCCAAGTCGTTCCTGCCCAAACGGACGAGAGGACCACAGGGGATGGTCTTTTGGAGCGGAACCCTTTGTTGGATTGTGTGGCGGACATCATTGGGGGGGGAGTTATGTCCACCATGCTAGGGCTTCCCTATTGGGTTTGTCTTCAGGCTCTACTGTTTTGGGGCGTATTGAAAAGCCTGATTTCAGATCCATGTGGAGACAAACCCAAAAACGGCATGGGGCAACCCAAGCTTTATCAAATAGCGGCTAGTACGAGCCTGTCGCGCGACATGGTAAAGCACCAAGGCCAAGTAAAGCACCAAGGCCAATCCCAACATGACAAAGCTAAGTGAGCACGCCCAACTTGCAGCGAGCAAGAAAGAAAGAAAGAAAGAAAGAAAAAAAGAAAGAAAGAAAGAAAGGCAGGAAGGAAGGAAGGAAGGAAGGAAGAAGAAAAGAAGAATAATGGGAAAATGCGGGATGTATGAGAGGAGGGAGTCATGAAATTCAAGGACGTCTGTGCCCCATGCCCTCACCGTGGCTTGAAGCCAGGCGCACCCGGTGAGCAACGTGTAGTTGGGAAGGCTGCTCATGATTGACGTCCACTCGCTGTCCTGTGGCGCGCTGCAAAAGGTGGGTCAATGAGTCAGCAGATCCCAAGGCCTGGGGAATACCGGATTTGCATATAGATTGCAAGCAAGCAACAGTGAACTATAGAGAGAGAGAGAGAGATCCCTTTCCTTCCTCCTTTTGGCTCCAAACAAATCTCCAATCCCAACGAGGTTCTGAGTCTATGATGGAATCCACAAGACAGAATCTTTGGGCGATTTCGGCCGCCGCAGATAAGAGTTAATTACAACTCACCAGGGAAGGTTAAAGTGCTTGCGGCCAGGACATGTTTAAGGCCACGTCTCCACACACTTGGACACTGCTCAAATGCCTTTGACTGATCTCTTCGCCGCTCAGGGAAAACCATTTGTTAGGCTCGTCAACCCTTCGCCAATTGTTAGGTCCGGCCTCGTCGAAATAGCTTCCATCAGCGTTGAAGTCACCGGCAACCATGTAGTAGTCAGCCGCAAAAGCCCCCTGGCAGGCTCGCGCACCTACATGCCTAGAAAAAATAGCAACATGGCTTGGTAATATTAATCATTGTCGTTATGATACTCCGAATTGTGTTGATAGAATTGGTGATATATTATTATTATTATTATTATTATTATTATTATTATTATTATTATTATTATTATTATCATTATCATTATCATTATTATTATTATTATTATTATTATTATCATTATCATTATCATTATCATTATCATTATTATTATTATTATTATTATTATTATTAATATTATTATTATTATTATTATTATTATTATTATTATTATTATTATTATTATTATTATTATTATTATTATTATTATTATTATTATTACTATTATCAGTATCATTATTATTATTATTATTATTATTATTATTATTATTATTATTATTATTATTATTATTATTATTATTATTATTATTATTAGTAGTATTATTATTAGTATTATTATTATTATGATTGTTATTATTAGTATTATTATTATTATTATTATTATTATTATTATTATTATTATTATTATTATTATTATTATTATTATTATTATTATTATTATTATTATTATTTTTATTATTATTATTATTATTATTATTATTATTATTATTATTATTATTATTATTATTATTATTATTATTATTATTATTATTATTATTATTATTATTATTATTATTATTATTATTATTATTATTATTATTATTATTATTATTATTATTATTATTATTATTATGTAACAACACGATAATATGTGTCTTCTGTTGGGGTTCAACCAATACAGAATCAAACGGGTAAACCATATCGAAAAAGAGCATTCGTTGATTAAGAATGTAGAACATGAAGAATTGGAAGGAAGCAAAACCAACTTCCAAGGGTTAGACTCGGAACTTGAAAGCTGGCTTGTGCCTTGTATGCCGCTGTCCTGGCAAGAAGAAGCTTCTCCTGACACATATGCCTTGATGCTTAGGAAGGTGTCAGTCAATCGACCAAGCCTTTTCTTCAGATGACAACTCATCTGCCAAACAGCCAGTCCTGAGATTCCATGCTAAATTGAGATTTCGACCGGCGATGGACGACTCTTCTTGACTTAGGAGTTTCTATCACACTCCGAGAAACTGTCGTGGAAAGGCCTCTTGGCACTCCATGCAGCAGCTTGATGGTGCCAAACAATCCAGATCTGAACATCTGCAATGCCAGGTTTGCCGCAGCTGATGTCGTGCAAGCGTCTCTACTTGTTCAGGCGAACGATGGAACCCGCCTGGCCTCCATCCAAGATAGAACGGACGGGTACTTGGCAATCTCCTCAGCTGGCGATTTATTGGAGGGACCTTCAGTGTGCCATTCCTTCAGAAAGCGCACGTGGCACTCTGAGAGCCAATAAATGGATCATGCCATTGCTCCCTCTGGAATATTGTATATATGCATATATGTGGATATACAAGCATATATCTGAATATATACGCATATACATATGCAAAAGTGGGAGTGTCGTGGAAACGAATTGACTTGACAACCAGCCCATTTGTGCAAAAGCCTCAAATAATTGTGGGTCAACGTTAAACCACCCGGAAAAAAAACGCAGGGTTTAGTCCTGGGTTCCATTTACCAGCATTCCATTTTGGGTACCTATGGACCCACAGCCACATGGAAGCAGTGCCATCCCTGCCGCCAAGGCTCCGCGGAGGCCGTGCTGGGGGAGGTGTGGGTGGAGGCGATGGCCAGCCGCGCGCCCCCTGAATCAAAGACCCCCAGTCAATATGTCGTCTTGGAAAATTGGCTGTGGATCAAAATGGGTGCCCAAAATGGAACCCTGGTAAATGGAAACATGGACTAAAATCTGCGGTCCCCTGGCGGTTTAATTTTGACCCATGCCCAATTGAAACCTTTCCGGTGTTTTCCCCTCTTGGTGGGAACACCAATTTGTTGCATGTCCGAAGAAATCATCCTCTTCCCAAAAAAGTCAAGGTTGCGAAAGTCGAACTCGAGAGCAACCATGACCCGGTGCCATGCCTGAGGTTTGTTGGGACCCTGGCTCCGAACGTGTGAGCTTGTTGGTGCCACCACCCAACCCACGTACTGACTTTTTGACTTTTGCCCTGCTGTCTTCCAAGGGTTGACGGGGCCGAAGTCTCTTTCGCCTTCACAATGTCTCTGTCCGGCTTTGGTGGCAAATCCGAGCCTTCGTCGCCTACGAGCCTCCGTCGTGACGGGAGATGGTCTACCGGTCTGCAATGAGAACAACTCCAACAAGGACACTGAGGACCTCGCCATGATCCATCTTCTACTCACTGATTCTGGACATCACATTGGGCCCATTGACAGCTCCAACAATGGCCAGAACCTGTCCAACTTGCCGGTTCGTGAGACTAAGAACTACCTTCAGAAAGTACTGGACATTTCTCCCACCGGCGGAATCGCACACCCGCCGGACATGCTGCTGAATCAACTCCCGAGAGCCAAACGAACAGAGAAAAATGATGATTGGTCCTGCAGAAATGCCGGTGACACTATTTTTTGGGATTCTGGAACGTACGTTCTTGTGTTGGAAACATTGGAACGTGGGGAAACCATCCAAGCAAATGCATCACGAGTTCCCCCTTCAAAAGCTTATTGCGAAGGCCACGCCCCAAAAGCTCTGTAGAAACCACTCCCTGATCACAAGTGCCCTCGCTTTCGCAAGCAACACGAGTCCCTTCAGTAACAAACATCCAGGAGGGCACAACCCATCGGGCTTCTGCTAAACGGGGGTGGTCGCGACCCAACTTCACCCAGGAACCTCCATGTCAGAACCAAAGCACCAGATATAAGCTGGAATGCCTAACCCAAAGGCACACATCGGTGCGTAGTTGTGCGACCACCAAACCACGTGCGTCAATGTGATAGAACTCCACTTGTCTGATGGGCAAAATCGCCAAGACAAACCGAACCGTTGCTCGACAGGCCAAACCAGGCCTGCAGCAAAGCCAGAGAACACGACCCCGCACCGTGGCCTATGTCCAGGTGAAAGGCATACGGAGGCCGGGAGAAGGTGGCTGTGCTGTCTGGAAACTCGTCACCGCTCAGGTAGGTGCCCAGAGTCGTGTCGTAAAGGATTGCGTACCTCACTGGAAGATCGCGTGCGTGCGCGTGCACGCCTCAACCACCAGATCTACTTTTGAACTTAGATGTTGTAAACCTCGAAAGTAGATGCTTGACACTTCAAACCTTTAATACTAAAACCAGATCTACTTGTTGAAGTTGGAATCCTCGAGTAGAACGTCCCCCCCCCGTCTCAGCCAGGGGGCTGCTCGTCCCCAATTCGTGGGGAGATCCGCAAGGAAAAGTGCCTTGGGCTGTGGGCGTTCACAGCCACCTGAGCCGGCCAAAGTGCAGAGCCGTGGAGCATTCTCAAAATAGGCCCCCAAACCAAAAATGGAGCCTGACCCTTTGACCACCAAACGGTGTCCACCATTTTGACAGACCTCCATGTTGAAATGTCACATTTGCCGCTGGTTGAAGAAATAGAGGGAGGTGGCCTTCAGACAGGTCTCGCCATCGAATCGACTTGCTTTTTTCGACGTGTTTTTTGTGTTTTTTTTTGCGGGCCTCCGGACAGAAATTGGAAATGTACGTCCTTGCATGGGAAAGCGCCTTCTTCTTCCGCGAGCAACTCCCAACGTGCTGACCAAACCTAAATGAAGGCCTGGTTTCGGCCATGCTCATCAGGTGGGTGGGTTAAGAATTGAGAGTTCAGACATGAAGACATGGAATCCCTGCGAGGAGAACCTCCCAAAAAGCGAAGCCTCTTGCCGGGCCTTTCCCAAAGTTACAAGATTCAATCAGGTTACATCAGGCCAAACGATTAAAGAGCAACCGGCCGTGGGGCATGTTGGATAGCATGTTGTTCTACAACAAACATATTCCCTTCTCTGAAAACAGCAAGAGTAAGGAATACAGCATGCGTTGCTCGAAGGCAAAAAATAAGGCTGGCCGTCCTGGAAGATGAGGGAAAAGCATGATCCCCAGCCCGGTCAATACTGGATCAACGCAAAACCAATCAATGCTGATGTTGACCAACGCTGAACGAATGCTGGCTAGCACCAAACCAATCCTAGACTAGTAGAAAACCAATACAGCAAAATATGCAGACACTTTCCCAAACCAGCTTCCCAAAATATGTTCAAGGTTGGACTATGGGTAACCCCGTTGCATAAACCGTTAGCGAAGTTCCTTGTGGCTAAAGTCCTTCTTGGGTGATGTCCTTTTGGGCGCAATCTCAGTCCTCAAGATTTCGAGATATTGCAGCTAAACTGTTGCACAAAATTCCACAATATCTTGCCCAGGGTTCTGATCATATACCTGGCAACACTGGGGTCGAAGTCCCATTAAGCCTCCTTTCAAATATAACCCAGAGGGTCGCAATAGCATCACTATGAGATCACTGTTTTGGAGGGTACCCCTATTCTGTGGTCCCAAAGGAAAACCAAACGGAGCACCATTTTAGGGGTCCCCAAAAAACGGACACACCCACATGGCCCAACCTTTTCACCCACTGGAGCGCCGACCTGCAAGCTGCAAATGGAAGACTCGGTGTTCTCCCCGCACTCGCCAGTGCCGTCCGGCATCTGCGAGATTTCCTGTGAGTGAAAGCAAAAACCGCCAGAGTGACACATGGTGGGTACTGCACCCGTTGGAAGGCTCCTTAGGGGAAATCAGCAAGCCGCCAGTTTCCGGGTTCCATGGTTGGAATGCACCTGGCCAGGCCCTGTGTCCTGGATCGTCACCACATCATAGCCTCGGCCATCCGGACACCGACTTCTGGGCCGTACGGCTTTATGGGGGCACGCGTCATATGCGACCCCGAAGCCGTCCCAGCTGTCCCCTGCGTCTTAAAGCTTGCGAGAGGCCCACATGGCACCAATTCATTGCGTCCACTCGGACCCATCCACATGGCGCCACATGATTACCTCCACCGCTCAGGGGACACCTGCTCGACCACATCCACACGACACCAAGTGAGTACGTCTCATGCCCGCTCGACCCGATCCACATGGCACCAAGTGACTACGTCCACCGACGCGGGTAAAACCTAGCAAAACATGCACCACTTGCTGCGTCATCTGCAACCCTACACTTCCAGATTTCTAGGGTTGACGGTCACAGACGACACGAAACGCTTAGGATGTTTCAGGGTCACAAATAAGGCGTGTGCCCTTTAAGGGAGGCTTTATAGCTTTTTTTGTCTGACGCTTACCAGCGTTGACACATACCGCAGAACCTACGGGCCATAAAACTTCTGGGCGCTGCTCAATTCGCATGCGGCAGAGTCTCGGACGATGACCGCGGCCAGCGCATCCAAAACGGCAGATTTGGAGGCTTTGCTCTCGCCGTAGTTTTGAATGTTGAAGGTTGCCTCAGAGATTTGGTGGGAACCCACGTTTGAAGCGGGGCCCTGTTTCCAGCAATTCGCAACTCATAGCCAGAACAGATCAAAGGCGAGATGCACAATAGACCCTTCAACTTCACCGGGGGTCAACCCGCCCAAGGTGTCATCTCCAGCCTCAACGTGGCCAGTGTCAAGGCGGTGCTCACATCCAACGCCCAATCCAAACCGTTCCTCTGCAGAAGGTGGCTGTCTTTGTAGGCATCACTGGGCACATCACTGGGGACCCAAACGATTTCTGCTTCGGCTTCCGTCCCAATCAAACCGCTCGTCTCCAAAGAGGCCGATAGAGCTGGAATCCATGCAGGAACTGAGGGAAAAGCCAAAGGCCAGGCACCCTCACAAAGGTCCAGGAACCAGCTCCTTTGCCATGATCCAAAAATGTAGCCATGCTCCCAAATGGATGTGGGTAATGTTTCTGATTGAGGCCCTGTCACATGACATCACCCGAGTTCGCCTGGACGCAATCGTACGAGGGAAAACCCTCCAGAGAAGGAAGTTGCAAGGTGCGCCCTTCGGACTGTTACAAGCTGAATGCGGCTGGTGACTTACCCCCCCCCCTTTCCTCGATTCCAAGAAGCCAGCAAAGTGTAAGCGAATCTACAAAAAGGTTTACAACATCCACTTCTCACCCAGGTATCTGGTGGTGTTTGATCTATCCTAACTGGGACATTGGACGCAGAGCTTCCTGCTGGTTTCCTCACCAACGTAGCTTGGTCTTTGAATGCCTGCGAAGACTTGAGCTTCGGTGAAGAAACAACAAGCAACCAAATTGTTCCTCCCAAACTAAGCTGGAACCCCACACGGGGCCCCTAAAAGGTTGATTTCTCCAATGGTGTGTTTTTCTTCGGAGGGTCCATGTCAAGTCAGGGCCTCCTTTTCCAAAGCCCTCACCCGATTCACTCGCAAGGCTTCATGGGAAGATGGCCAACATCCTTCGCCCCTCCTCTTCCCCTGCCGCATCAATTTCTCTTCATCCGCGCCGCCAAGAAGACGCCGTCGCATGCTGGCGCCTCCAGGCCCAGAATTCAGGTTCCCCAAAGGAGACGCTGCCCCCGCGGAGAAAACAAAACGGTGCGCCACAGCCGTGGATGATCAAAGTGGCCATCTCAATGATATGGTCTATGCAAACGTGGGTGAGATGGCTCAATAGACCTTTGCACAAATGAAGTGGTGGCATTTTGAGCCCGTCTCACCGTATTCAAGCTGAAACGTCTACAGCTCACAGTTTGCAAAGCACCAATGAACGAAACATGTCTAAAACATCATACCTGGCTTTTTCACCCGTATTGGCACGCACAGCCAACTTGTTCGGTCAGTGGCACATGCACCCGTCTGTAAATCCATATGGTTCCAGCAACAGGCAGAAAAATGCCGTAGACAGCTGTATCACCACATGTTCGGTTGAAGTCTCAATTACAACGCGTAGAGACCATCCGCTATTTCTACTTCCCGGACTTCCTTGTATGTGCCACATAGATCTTCTCACAGAACAAGAAAGGCCTTCACATACTGGCGAAAGTTGCAACACTCATGAGTCAAGCTGACACTCAAACTGGCAGTTGGATGCCTTGATGCATTCTCTTGCATGCCTCGGATTGTGACGCTCCCAAACGTCCCCATGACATCCTCCCCAGCCTCTGTGATGATCTGCTGGCTTGCTGCAAGCTGCAAAAGCAAGCCCAGACCGATCATCAGGCAGCTTTCAAATTTTGATTAAAAGCCCAACGGAAGATGCTCACGAGAGGTATGGTGGCTGGACCCAGCGCGGAGTTTGGGCTTGGATTAGGACCGCGGACTATCCCTAAATACACAACCTTACTTTTCGGAAGGCCCAGGTCAGGGGCTAACCGGGTTGAGTGGTGGGGCTGAGTGAGGTGAATTGGTGTCAAGTGGCGCTTTGCAAGGGAAGGGCGATGTTTGCAGAAGCCATGCGCAGCTCTTTGACTTTGTATCTTTGGGGCGGTGTTATTCTCTGTTCGAGGTAGATCCGCACGGATCTGGCCACTTGGGCCTGCAACTGTTTCCGCAAAACGCAGCGGTGCCCGAGCTTCGATGCGAGTCCAGCCTTGCTAGTCCAGCGATGCACCACAACGGAGTAATGGAGAACCCGAAGCGGCCCTCAAGAAACCGACGAAAAGATGTGCTTGTTTGAGGACACCAAACGATTTCATGACGACTTTTGATGGCATCATGCAGCCCAAGCAGTTCAACACTGTTGGCCGCAACATCGAGCACGGTCGTGACTCCTCAAAGGGAAACAGGGTCGCTCCATGAAAAAGCGCGCCGAAATGACGCGTTTCTTTCATCCAAGCGGCCCGAAGTTTTGTTCGGTCCCCAAACACGCTTCGATTCCAAGGCATGTGCACTGACTCAGAGTTGATTCGTAAGAAAACCACGGGATCCCTGAACAGCACGACCCCCCCTGACCCCATGAACCCCATGAACCCCGGCCTGGGCTCTCAAAGCCTGCCTGACAGACCGGATCCCGGGCGCAAGTCAATTGGCCCCCTATTTGGAACCTCGCGAGTCATTGAGAGTTCTTCGACCAAACATGTTCGATTTGAAGGGCCCTTCAAATGTTGACCATCGACATGATTGGACAAACGACCCGATACCTAAACCACGTGCTGTCTTCGCACACGACCAGACCGCAAGTCATGGACTTGTCAAGCTGGGCTCACGGCAGATCCCTCAATTCTCGCAATCTCTTGACGCGCAACGTGCCGTGCTTGACTCCAGGTCTGAGCAAAAACTCGCTTACCCTTGTAAAGTGTACATTGAAACCAAACATGTTGTTTTTCGAACAAAAAATGAAACAGTGTTTGACCGGGGCAAAGGTGTCGACAGGCTTGAGCCAGTTCGTTGTGATTGGACCAGACCTTTCTTGTATTGGTCTGCTTCTTTCGAATCAACTGCTTCACGCGCTGCTCCGCGGCGCCTGTCCGCGCCGCTCGGCCATCCTGACAGAAGCAACGGAAATTGTTTGTGACTTCCACCCGCTTGAGGCTCAAATGAAAGCCTTCTTGCTGGGTGCACAACAACCCTCTGCGCCAAGCAAGTTCGTCCCAGTCATTGCATCTCGCATGGTCTCTTGCTGGGTTTTTTGCTACCCTCACAAAACCAAAGGACCCCCCAAAAGGACAGGTTCTGATAAAATTATTGGAAGGGTCAGACCTGCTGAGTTGACTGGCCAGGAAGGCTCTAAACCCCACTGGGCCACCAAAAGGGACAGCCACCAGAACTCAACCCTCGCTTCATGGTTCGAGCTTACATGTGCCCCGTTCAAAGTTCAATCAGAAACAGGCCCAAACAGTTCGGTGTTTCTCTGGACAACTTCCCGCAGTGATCAATGAAAAGTGTCAGAATGGAGAGGGGGGTCCTTTTCGGTTATGGCAAAGGCCAGAAGAAAACTGTCGCCATGCTGGCTGCAACCGGCAAAACCATCACATGTTCGCATCCCTCATGTACATCTCACCATATGGAATGACAAAGCTCCATCTCAAATATGTTGTGAAGCCATGCCCACAGGCTCAAGGTTGAGGGCAAAGCATGCAATCCTTCCATGTTCGTTTCGGGCAGCGCTAATGCTACTTATATGTTTACCAGCCACAACCATTTCCTCTTTGAGACCAACTGGGGCAAAACAACCCAAAGCAAACGGAACCTGTCCATTTGAAACAAGTCAGGTCCAACACAAGTCACACCAGCAAAATGATCTGTGCTTGGAAAGCCTCCCCCCTCTCCCCGTTGCCCTCGAACCTCGCCCTCAGGTCTATGGGCGCCTGAAGTGCAGACGAGATGTGTCCCAAAAAAAGGTGCAGCAATGGGTGCGAAAGCCCCTGAGCAACTGAAAGAAGGGGCCATCCCTTGGATGTGCAAAGGGAAACCAATAGGTTGCAACCCATTTGAGCAAATGGGTTGAAGCTTGGCTATGGCTTTGTGAGAAGTGTCGCCATGAATTCCGGTTGCCCATCCAACGGGGACCTAATGGGCTGGAAGGGATGATATGGGGAGACGACTGAGATCCGTTCTCGAACCTGCATCGAACCTTGCCACTAGAAAAAACCATCTATCAATGGAGGGACAAGAGGTCCCATCCGAGAAAACCACCACATCTGGCCATGAATTCTAGTGGGGAGCCCGGTTGGACATAGATCCCCGAAGGTAGACTTCAGGTGAAAGCGCATCCCCAATGTCCACCAACAGGTTCCAACCAGTTTGACGTCATACCAACTTCTAGCAAGGAACCAGGTGCTTACCAGGCCCTTGAACACCCAATTATCCTGCTTGTCTGGCTGACCGGATGAGCGAGAGAAGCAGCCATTTTCTGAAAATCACATGGTGCATGCGGGGTTGCAAAATGGGTTGGAACCTGCAAATGGCTAGGTTTCCTTTCGCTTCTTCAAAGCAACTCCAACATGCGAATCCTCGAAACAAATGCCATGCACTGCTCCCACCTGCTCAATCAGCACGGGCACTTGTGGCGCTTGCGCTTCCTGGCAGTGTGCCGTGCAGCAAAGCATATCATGTCCAGTACCTCAGGATGTAGCCTGGAAACAAGCTTGTGCAGTACAAACACACATCGTTTGATTGAAATACAAGTACATGAACGGACAGAAACAAAGATGCCAAAATACCACCAACTTGCCCCTGGAGACTGAAGAGCAGTAAAGTATTGTTGACCCCCAGATATTCATCAGGAGACTGTCCTGCAAGGCCACTTCCAGCGCCTGCCTGGCTTCCATCCTGGCATGCGGGCCCACGCAATCTCACTTACGAGCTTTCCTTGGGACGATTGCTCCCATGAGTGACACACATGTTTTTTTGGCCAAAGGGTTGGGGTTCAAGGCCCGGCTTTTTGTTTCAACAACTTCCTTTTGATTCTCCTTCACAGGCGCTTGGACCTGAGGCAGGGTTGCAAAACTGCTGGCCCAGCAAAACACACAGCTCGTCGAGCCCTGGACTGGCCGGCTGGCCCTGACCCCATATTTCACTTGAGTGGAATCCCCCGCAAGAGGTGCCAGGTCGATGTGGTAAGGGTTTAGAGTGAGAAGAAGGTTGGGCTAGGTTGCAGGATTTGCCTTGGGTCGCTTCAAAATCAGTTCAGGGTGGGTTCAGCGTGTGCTTAGGCTGGGTTCAGTGGTTTAGGGCAAGGTTGATGTTCATTCAGGGTTGTTGTGCGTCTGTTTTGGTGTTGCGTCGAGCTTGGGTGGTGTTGGAGTTGGCTTAGCCTTGGCTTGCTTGGCTAAGGTCAATTGATTGAAAGGTCTAGTTGGTATCAAACAAGCGACTTCAAGAATTCTTGCGGAGGCCTCTTATTGACCGGAAACACATCTATTCTGGAGTGAAATTCAGTTTCTAGAAATCTTTTGGGAGCTCGGATTTTCTGGAAACACATTGAATCTGAAAAAGATGCGCGAGTTCCGATAGTTTGTCTTTAAAGCAACAACATTGGGTTTGAACGAGAATGAAACGCAACTGCCGGCACGCTGCTCGCCGCACCTCTGCTTCTGTTCAGGACCTGAGGCTGGCTTTCGACCAATCCACAGACTGGGCTGTTCAAAGCTGAGACGCTAGTTTGGATCATCCGCATAGGTCGTCACATGGGAAACCTCTTTGCTGGCGTTGAAGGGACATCAAATCGTGACTAGGTAGCTTTGAAGGCCCCTCACTTGGAAAGTGAGGGAGGAATACGCCAACATTTCTCTGCACTTCAAGCCACCAGTCCCCACAAATAAAGGCAAAATGAAAATTGCAATTTTGGAACAATTGAAAACCCCTCCTCCCAACCTGAAAAGCAAATTCACATGAGTGTTCCTTCTACTGATTCATCAACATGTTCCCAAGACAGAAGCAAAAAAGAGGCGCGGGCTTTCGGGGAGATCAAAAACGCCATTTGGCATGCGGGGTGCCTGACTCCCAGTGCCGGACTCGCCACAAAAATCCGCCGCAATAACTGTTCCTTTTTCCTTTACCAGCTCAAGAAACAACAAGGACATAGAGCAATATCTTGACATCTCTTGAAATATGTATATGCTCGCCCCCGGCCCCCCTGATCCACGCTTGGGGCTGCAACATCTGCACCGAAAGGGAAATCCAATTTAAACTCTACTTGGATTAGTTAAATTCAATTTAAAGTCGATCGGGGTCAAACAAAAATCACCTTGGGAAAGGGAAATCCTCTATAAAGTTTGAAAAAACAAATGTGATTAACATCAGCAACTGCAAACATGTCTAATACCCTTCACCCCCCAAATTGTTGTCCACTCACCATCTTTTGCCTCTTGCAACGCGAGCGCCAAATCTTCTGCAGTCCCTCTGGACTGGTGTGGGACGTCTCAGGCCCGGGGTGGAGACTCAGCTCAAGTTGTAGCTCTGGTCCATGGTTTGGGGAGAGGACTAGGATTTCTGCAAACACGTCCGCTGAGCGTCCGCTGAGCGCTTCAAAAATTTAAGCACACCCAGTCAAGTGCCCTTGCTCAGCTCTGACGCCTGCCAAACAGCATTGCTTGCACGCGCCTGCCAGATGGTAAGCGCGCCCGCCCATGACTGGACAAGCGCGTCAAACGGTAAGCGCGCCCGCTCAAGTGATTCCGCTCAGCACGCACACATGCTTGGCAATCGGTGAGCAGGGCCAGGCAAGCACAGCACCGAACGCGCACACCCACAGCACAGCTGTTGAAGAGGGCCCG